TTTTTTTAGCTAAGCCATCCTGCCACCTGTTGGCAGCTCAGCTGCAGCTCAGCTCGGGCTGGGAATCGAACCACTGTTGCTCAGAGCTCGCACTCTTGAGCAAGCTCTTAACCAACTGAGCCACTTGGCCCGCCCTAGGTGAGTTAGGTTTTGACCTTTATATTTCACTGGGTTTTGCAAATAGGTTACAAAAAGCAATCACTGGGCAATGCTATTATTATTATTATTTTTGTTGTTGTTGTTGTTAAGTATCATAAAATTTTACACCTGGAAGGAATCTTGGAGATCAGTGCAGCCAAGCCTGCTGTCTCCCATGGGAGGGGTCCAGAGAGCCTCGCTGAGTTGCCCAAGGTCATGCAGTCAGCAATAGGAAAGCAGAGACTAGAAGCTGCATCCCTGTACGTTTCCCTCCATCCCCTTCCCCAAAAGATTCCTTCTAATGTAGCTACCTATTCTTGTGGTAACTGATCTTTTATTTTTACTTCCTGGGAATAATGGCTGGCATTGTATCATTTTTTGGTTCAGTGGTTCAAAAATCATTTTTCGACTTAAGAAAGGTCAACCTCAGCATTCCTGAAAACGTATGCATCAGGGACTGTCTTTATCACCTGTCCATTTCCCGAGCACGGGTTCGAGAAGCCTCCTGGACATTGGTTGCAGTCGGGGCCATAGAAACCTTTGCAGCACGTTGGTACCTGGGAAACAAAATGTGTGTTGCCCTTTGAAACCCAGAGCAGAGTGTCACTTCCTCAAAGGAGATAGATTTTCATTTCTATTATTATCATAAACAGCATTAGCCCCTCCCCCCCCCGCCCCCGTTATGAGCTGGACTTTTTCTTTGGCAGATGACAGAATGGCTAGTGCTCAGCCATCTGTTCACCACAAATGTACTGAGAGCTGACCCCAGGGGCCAGCCTGGCTCTGGCACCTGTCAACAAGACAGATGAAGGCTTGTGCTCATGGGGTGTGGTCACAAGAGAGTGGTTCAGAGAGTGGTCAGTGCTGAAGAAAACCAAGGACCCTAATAAAGTGGTGACAGGTAGGGACAGAGATGGGGGAAACTGGAGAGGCCACTGTGGATTGGGTGGAGGTGACAGTTAAATGGAGACTTGAGAGATGACTGAGCCCCAAGGAAACCTGGAAGAGCGCTCTGAGGTTATGAGTGGCCAGTGCACACGCTCCGAGGTGGGAATGAGGGTAAGAGACAGAGGGTGGGCTGTGTGGGGGGCGTCGGGAGTGGGAGCTCTGTGTTAAAAGCCACAGGGCCCTGTGGGAGGGGTGGCCGCAGGGAAGGGGGTGACCTGGCTGCCATATAGAGAATCTGCCCTTCGTTTCCCCTGCAGGGAGACATGGCCAAGGCCCCACAGGCAGCCTGTGACTGCACAGAACCTGGGGCCCAAGAGAGTGGCCTTGGAGCTGCCCAGCCCTGCTGGCTGCTGTGAGCCCTGCTGGCCTGGATAAATGAGGGCGCCAGCCACACCTACTGCTCACCTCCACAGTGGCATTGCAGTATCTGGCACAGCCACTCTTCAGGCTCCGTGTTTTGCCAGTGTAGACACATTTGTGTGTGAAGAGTGCCTGGAAGAAAGCCAATGAGAAAAAGCATTGCAGTCTGCATTTCGCTGTCCTCTGGGCATCTCTTGGTTACATACACTAGATCCTCTACTTCCGTTTTACCATCCATGCCAGGAAGCTGCTCTAGATCACGCCAACATGTGTGGGTCCTGGGCAGAGCGTGGTCGCGATCTTTAGGTATTCTGTTCCCTTTTTGGTAGAATACAGGCCAAGGTTTGCACAAGGCGGGGCACGTGCGTCTTTCTGCCCCTTTGCATGCTGTGGCAGACATCGCTAATTGATCAGGAAACACGCTCATGTTCATCTTGGAGATGGCTTAGCCTTCCCTTCCAATCAGTTACCCCCCCCCAAACTCCTCTTATACAGAAATTTTTGAGTCAGTGAAGAGTTCATCTCTATTTTTTAAGAAAGATCAACCCGCCCCCCATAGTGATAATTTGAGTTTTTCTCTTGGGGTGGGGGAAGCGCACTTAAATACACCCTTTTCTTCTCTAACCCCAATGTCCACTCATTATTATCTAGAACTACAATGCATTGAGAACTTACTAGAGTCAGACACAGTCAACAGTGAGGTTATCAGTCTTCAACTTCATGTGGATATTTTTCATCCCTTTTTTGTAGATGAGGAAGCTGATGCCCAGACAGGTTAAATCATTTTTCTAAGGAACACTGGTCATAAGCGGCAGGTCCGGAGAATGGGACCCACCTTACCACCTACGAACTTGAGGGTATCACAGGCAAATCATGTAGTCTCTGTGGGCCTCAGCTGCCTAATCTGTGAAATGGGGCAATAATGCTGATCTCAAGTTTTGTCTTCAGCACGAGTCCCTGGCTCTGACTTTAGGTTAGATAAATGTTGATGTTGACCTTACCCCTTCATCTTACGCTCTTGCTCAAGAAGACAGCATTGAGAACTTCGCAGACTATAAAATCCTAAAATCTTAGATATGCTCACCGAGGAAGGAATATCTAGTGCCTTTGTTAGATCTCAGGATAAGTAGCCACGTATAGATCATGGGAGCATGTGAGGGGCAGTTTAGGGGCTCTTCTGGCTCCAAGCCGTGTGTCCCATCTTTCTTTCCTGTCTTCCTCCTCCTTCCTTGGGATTATGGTTCTGCCACGTATCGGCTGAGTGACCTTCTGCCAGGCGGTGTATGTTTCTTTGCCTCAGTCCTCTGATGACACAGTGGTTATGATAATAATACACCTACCTCCTATAGGTTTGCTGGGTAAAGCCTTTAGAACAATGTTTGGCACACAGTACCTGCTGTGACTCCCGCCAACACAATTCCGTCTTTCCTCCTTCCTCTCCATCTTCCCTGTTTGGCAGCGTACTGAAGGACTCAGGGTTTCATTAAGCAAAATAAATACCTGATCACTTAGGCCTATTCAATTTTAATGTTTTGCTTTATGAAATACTTCACGATAGGATTGCATTAAAGAGCTCATCACCTTCCTTGGTGATTTATTCTAGTGTTGAAAGAAACTTCTGGTTGGGAAGTTTTTTTCTGAGGATGCACTTATAGGCAGAAATTTCTATCATCAACTTTACCCTAGAACACTTCGCTTTTCCCACCAATAGAGTACATGGCGTATGAATTGTGAATTGTTGTACAACTGTCTGTTTCCCTTTTAGATTAGAGCTTCTCAAGACAAAAACAAAATAAAACGAACTGTACCCTATTCTTCTTTTTGCCCCTAGAACCAGCACTATAATCCTCAATAAAAGTGTGTGGAATTCAATCAAACTTGGAAAGGTTTTGATGGTTCTAGCAGCATTTTCTTGAGATTTCTCTCTAGAATAACACTGGGGAAGAGCAAATGCAAATCACAGGTGGCAGATTATGCCATGCCAAAATATGCCACTTGGGCATAAGGATTATTTGGAGCTAAAGGTACCTGGAAAACAGCAGATAGAAAAGGGGCACTCTGATCTCCCTTTTCTTTCTGAAAACAGGAGCTAAAACTTCTATGTGAAAGATGTCCTCCCTCTACCAGGAATGAAGAAATACTTTGTCACCACGGACAGGGAGTTGAAGCCAAGAAGAATCTTACAAACAGACTTTTAGCCTCCCCAAATATTATAGTTCCTTTTTCAAAATTGCCTCTCTGTTCAACCTACTATATAAGTCAGCGTTTGGGTTTTGCCACTGCTCGAGTCCTCGTGCTCCTGTGGCGGCTCCCGTGTAGGTATACAAATCTGTATGCTTTTCTCCTGTAAGCCTGTTTTATGTCAACTTAATTTTGAGGCCCAGCGGGAGACCCTAAGGTTGTGGAGGGAAAGTTTTGCCTTCCCAACACAAATGTTGGATTTTATTTAAGAGGGAAAGTAGAGAAGGAATGAACCTTTGCTGAATGACTACCTGATGTAGGCATTGTGCTCGGGTTTTTAATCTATGCTAATCCTGTTGTTGTGGTTATTATTATTACTATTATTATTTACAGATGAAGGAAATTGGAGTAAAAAGGTTAAGCAACTTACTTAAGGTTCAAATGCAAGGGTTCAAATGCAGATCTGTGGGTGGTCTTTATACCATTTCCCAGGTAGTAGGCTAAGAGCTAATCTTATATTAACCCCACTTGGAGTTAATATCTTTTAAGAGGAAGGTAGAAAAGATAAGAAACCACACCAGTGGGGCTGCTTGGGTGATGTGTGTTTTCCTGAAGGTGTCACACTCACTGTGGGCTCGGAGTTAGCAGGACATCTGCTCTGAAGCACCGCGGAACACCTCACACAAGTGCCCTGGAAGAGAAGACGATGGGTCAGTACAGGTACCCCCGTAGGAGGGAGCAGGCGACCCCCCTGTCTGGTCTCATGCTTCCTCCCTATGAAGGGCCTTTCACCAGAGCAACACTCCCTGCCTCTCTCCCCACCCCCTACTGACTCCTCCCCAGAGAGAAGGAATGAATCCAATGCAGGAGAGGGTTGGCAGAAGTAACTGAGCCTGCTCAGCCCCTTCCTCTCTGTCTTTTAGGATCAGACTGTCCACAGGCCTCAGGCTTCTGATCAACTGTCTGCTGTGTAGAGAGGCCCCTGTCTCTGAGGGGACATGATAGTTGTCCACTTGCGCCAAGGATGAAGTATTAAGATGAAGTCCTTGTTCTCCAATGAGCTTAGAAGTAATGAGGCTGAGCTTTGAATCTCTGCCTTTGTCTCATGGGCATCTTCCTCGGTTGGTTGTGAATTCAGGAGGAAAGAAAGGAGTGTGTGCATCCAAATCTCTCCAGACCCATTCTCTGACCTTCTGTATTGGGCTCTGTGCGCCAGCAGGGAGATCATGAAAGAAGATCTCTTGGGTTTCCTTTGTCCACTTCCAGTGGGTCTTGACCAATGGGATGCACCAGCAAGATATTGGCTGGGAGGTGCAGAGCAAGGTCAAGGTATTGTTTTTCCTGCTCTCTCTCTCTGCTTAGGAACCATCCCTATAGCTCCTGATGGTCGTCACTGCCACTCTTCCTACTCTCATGGGTTCAAGTAACTCTACTCCCTGATACCCCTGTGACCCTTTGGTCCAGGGGTGGTCATGGTTTCCTGCCATTGCTTCTCCCTAGATGCCTCAGCATAACTTGTTCATGTCCTTAGCCCTGCCCATTTCTCTGTAGTAGCTTCTTCATTAAAGTCTCTCCATTTGAATCATTGGGATAAATTCTGTTTCCTGCAGGAACCCCAGACCCTAACAATACAGAGTGCTATTATTAAACCTCTAAAACCCAAAAATACGTGCTCCAAAATTGAAACATACATGCCCAAAGACAGCTGTGGTTTTAGCCTGGTGAAAACTGAGACTTCTAGAAGGTGCCAGCAGCTTCGATTCTTTGCTAGCCCTAAATACTTTCCAGAGAATGCATTTGTGCTTTTAATAGACTTAGTCAAAACCACCCTAAACCATGCAGAGCAGAAAGATTTGACTAAATCCAGAAAAATAGTGGAAGATGCCTTTCTAAGGCCGCTATTGGGAAGTTCTTTTCCCAATCTGATCAAAATTCTTTTGTTTACGGCACAAACCTACATCTTGATACTATTCTTCAGGTAGATGGAGAACAAGCTTTTGAACAGCTTGGACCGAGGCAACCCCCAACAAGGCAAGCACGTAGGGCTGCCCTGCCCCTCCACAGCCTCCTTTCCTGAACTTGAATGGTGGCTGCTTAGGGTTGGGGAGTTCTGAAGAAGTCTAATTGTTGATGGTTTTCTGCACAGGCCCTATTTTCCTAACATTTTTATCTTTGGGCCAGGAAATGAGACTATTTTCTCGTGTCCTGTTCTGACCTTCATGCTGGTCTAGGCCAGGTGATACATCTGTCAAAATTTATGTCAAGGATTGAACCACACAAAAATCACTTCCAGGGACTGGCTGGGAATGTGACCATGTTTCAGCTTCTCTTAACAAGTAGTGCTGTGCTCAGAGCTGAATCAAATCCCCCAGATTTTATGTGACTGGCACAGGGGACTAGCACCATCATAACAGCCTAAAATATACCAGAGCCATTCCATCAGTTAAGAAGTCTGGAATCAGAGGATTCAGCCACAAGCCTGTGCCAGGTGCTCAGCCAGCTATTTCCAGCCTTCATGACAAGAAAAGGGATCAATAAAATCAAATCAGCGAAAAGAGGCCATTAGTACTTGTTCAATGCTCATGTTCCAAGGATATTGTGAGAACAATCATCGAAATACTATTGAAGTGTCATGAAAAAGAAATACCCAGCCCTATTATTGCTGTGACTTTGGGGTTGTGGTTTCTGTGGGAACTGAAAGATCACATGTACAGCAGTGTTGAAGTTTGGGGTGCTCTGATTAAAACCAGCTGAGCCAAGAAGTTGCTATGGAAACAGGAAAGGCCATTAGAGGCTACACAAGTTCATAGGCAACCAGAAAGTTTGGAATTTGAAAAAAAGCATGGAACGATGGTTGATTGGCTAGGCCAGAACACCCCCCTGAGAAGAAATTCTATTTTAAACCCCTCGTAAAGTCCCTTGAGGGGAAGTGTAGTGGGTAGAATAGTGTGCCCCCCAATTTATGTTCTCCCTCAGAATGTGATCTTATTTAGAAATGGAGGCTTCACAGATATAGTTATTTAACCTGAGGTCATACTGGATTAAATGCATTAGATCTAATGACGTGTGTCCTTACAAGAAGAAAAGGGGACATGCAGTGACACACACAGGGAAGAGGCCATGCAGAGATGGAGGCAGAGGTCGAAGCGATGCAGCTACAAGCTGAGGAACACCAAGGACTGCTGGGAGGTACCAGAAGCGGGAAGAGACAAGGAAGGGTCCTCCCTAGAACCTTCAGAGAGGGCATGGCCTTGCTGATCTGTTGATCTCAGATTCCCAGCCTCCGGAACTGTGAGAGAATAAATTTCTGTTGCTTTAAGTCACCTAGTTTGTTATGGCAGCCCTAAAAAATGAACATACCTGGGCAGCATCTATCATTGTGGAAATTCCCCCAAAGGAACTTTACTTAGTTCACGCCTGCCTCTTCATGAAGACAGAAACCCCACTGGGATGAGGCTCCTGACTGTGGTAAAACTCTCCTTGTCAGTTTCTGCAGAATTGTGATAGCAGGGACGGTTTTCTGCTCTGTGGGGCTGTTCAGGGGCCCTTACCTACTTTCCTAGTTTCCTTACCAACTTCAGCTCTCTCTTTGTTTCATCACATCGGTGGGGCAGAATTGGGACGATGGAGGGAGGTATGAGAACTCCAGTCAGTGTGTAAATTCGGCCATTTTTGGCAGTGACCTCAATTTCTTCCATGGCCACATCATTTGCCAGAATCTGTCCCTGGAGAGAAGCAATGACATTTTCATTCTTTACAGCAGGAGCACCAGTGGTCCACTGGCAGATCTGAACAGTGGTGTGGCCTCACTAAAGAGCCTTCACACAGGTGGTTAGATGCTCAGCAGATATTTGCTGAGAGAAGCAACAAATGAATGAACTAATTGTAAAGGTTGTGAGCTAGTATAGAGGAAGGATAACCCGAAGAATAAACAGAAGAAGAGCAAAAATATGTGAGTAATGATACCGGTGGTAGAATTTTCACTTACATTGTTGGTTGTGTTAAACTGTATGATCTGGTTGGCCATGGTCCTAAAGTGAGGGGTTGAAATGAGGGTGGCCACCTCAAGCTGCAATGAGAACAATAGACAGAGACATTGAGAGCAACATCAAGAGACCTGCTTTCATAAAGTCCTTACTGGAAAAAAACAGTCTGCCAGATTATAAAGTAAACAATGGGAGCTTTGATGTCATGAGTTTTTATGGCTTTGAAGATTTCTTTGATATCAGGATCATTATTCATGGGGTAAGGGTACGCTTGGAACTACAGAAAAAGAACAACTGTCACATATTTTCTAGCACCGAAATACGGCAATTTAAGACAAGGTCAGATATCTTGAGACCAAGGGAAAAACAGGGCAGGAGAAGTGGAACCCACCTGGATAAATGGGACAATGTGGTATCTGACAAGTTCCAGAAGCTTCCGAGATCCCTGCAAAGGAATTAAAATACTTTGTTGGTCAATGATGAAAACACAACACAAGGTTCCCTCTTATGGTGATCTCCTAAATGACTTTGGGCACTTAGTCAGGAATAATAAATGACTCATAATCTCATTATTGGGAAGTCCAGGGTGAGAAAAACCCCATCCCCCAAATAGCTAATATTCACCAGATTTCTACTCTGGCAGGGGCTGTTCTTAAAACTTTATGTGCACATTTTATTCAATCCTCCCAACAACCCTGTGAGGTAGAAGCTACTATTGACCCATTCTATGTGTGATAACACTGAGTTTTCAAGACACATCCAAGGTCACAAAGCTAACTTAGGATATAAACCTAAGAATCACTTCAAGCTCTGAGACTCTCTGCTCCATTCTCTCTCTCTGAATGTTTAAGGCTACATCCCTGATTTTCTAAGACAGTCATAGTTTATGATTCTGTTTCACTCTTGCCATAAATAAACATCTGCTTGTCAGGCCACACACTAGTGATTTAGGAAGATATACCCTTGTTAGGATTATCCAGTCAGGACATTTTCCCTTCCGAACTCCCATGGTGCACTCATATGTGGTCATCTCTCCTTTAAAGCCCTTTCCAAACTTTCCAAGAGTTCTGAATGCTTCAAGAAACGGAAGCAGATGTGGAGCAACATGAGGGTCTTGGGGCTAGAAGCAGGTTGAGTGGTCCCTGTAAGGGTGCCCTGGAGTGATGTACGGAGTTGAAGAGCATGGGGACCACTCTCTTTGGGGGAAGAAGGCAGTGGCAGTGGTGGTGGTCTGCTGCAGTATGCTGCAATTTCTGAGCTGAGTCAGAGCTGGGAGTTACAAACTTCACAGCCCTTGAATCCTGCTTTGTAAGCGGCACAGCCATAGTTACTCTGGCTTGGAAAGGTGAAGGATCACAAATCAAGACCATAGTAATGCCCAAGAGGTTGACCATTTTAGGGACATGTTCTAACATTGTGAAAGCAAACCTTGCTAAACCTGAGTTCCATTCACCCAGACTTCTCTCTGCGTTTGGTCTTGGTCCCTATGCCAGGGGAGTTACATGTAGGTAGAGTGACCACATATTCTGGTTTGTCTGGCACAACCTTGGTTTACGCCTACGGTCCTGGAAATCCCATTCACTCTCAAAAGTGTCCTGATATAATAAATTGTATGGCCACCATATGTATAAATTAATAGCATTGTGGGAAGAGCCTGTTACCAAAAAGGATGTTGAAGTTGACCACCAGTTATCCAGCCATGGAAATGATGCTTTCTGCAATATTGATTCTGTTACTATGTGACCTTGAGCAAATCACTTAGCCTCTGGGTCCTAACTTCCCCTTACAGCTACTTTATGGTATCCAGAAGTGGGACTTGCAGATAGAAGCAATGCTATTACAAGCTTGAATACCCATTGGCAGAAGGGCTGAGAAAGAGTGGGGACCACTGGGAAATGTGAGACCAAACTGGACTGCAAACTCCTGGAAGGCAGGGACCAGGTCTTTCTGGCTTAATAATAACTGTCCCCAGCCAGCACAGCATGGGGTACATGGCAGGCCCTGCATAAACATTTGTGCCAATAAACCCACATATATATGGGCAGATAAGTTTTGACAAGGGAGCCAAAAACGTACAATGGAGGAAAGAAAACCTCTTCAATAAATGATGCTGGGAAAAACAACCCTACACTATGAAAGCCAAAAAAAAAAAAAAAGAAAGAAAAAAATAAGAAAGAAACTAGACAGCTATTTGTCACCATACACAAAAATTAACTCAAAATAGATCAAAGACCTAATTATAAGACCTGAAACAGTAAAACACACAGAAGAAAACATAAATACCAAATTTATGGACCTTGATCTTAGAGAGGGTTTTATGATTTTGACCTCAAAGGCAAGGGAAGTAAGAGCAAAAATAAATGAATAAGACTATATCAAACTAAAAAGCTTTAGCACAGCAAAAGAAACCATCAACAAAACAAAAAATGCAACCAATTGAATGGGAGAAGATGTTTGCAAACAACACCTCCTATAAGGGGCTAATATCCAAAATATATAAAGAACTTGTACAACTCAACAACAAAAAAGCAAACAATCCAATTAAAAAACGGGCAGAGGACCTGAACAGAGACTTCTCTCAAAAAGACACAGAAATAGCCAACGGATATATGAAAAGATGCTCAACTTCACCAACTATTAGGGAAATGCAAATCAAAACGACAATGAGATATCACCTCACACCTGTTAGCATGGCTATCATCAACAAGACAGGAAATAAGTGTTGGGGAGGATGTGGAGAAAAGGAACCCTCATACACTGCTGGTGGGAATGTAAATTGGTAGTCACTGTGGAAAACAGTGTGGAGCTTCCTCAAAAAATTAAGAATAGGACTGAGAATAGAGCTAAGAATATGACTCAGCAATCCCTCTTCTGGGTATCTACCCCAAAATTTTGAAAACATTTATTCATAAAGATATATGTACCCCTATGCTCATTGCAGCATTATTCATGGTGTGGCCAAGACATGGAAACAACCAAAGGGTCCTTTGATAGATGACTGGATAAAGAAGATCCAATCAGAATTATGGTACATGTATGCAATGGAATATTACTCGACCAGAAGAAAGGTGAAGTCCTGCCATTTGCAACAACATGGATGGGTCTTGAGAATATCATGCTGAACGAAACAAGCAAGATGGAAGAAGTCAAGAACCATATGATTTCACTCATATTTGGGATATAAAACGGGCAGCAACAAACAAACAAAAACTCATAGACACAGACAACAGTATGATGGTTACCAGAAGGAAAAGGTGGGTGGTAGAAGAGGGTAAAGGGGGTAAAATACATGGTGATGGGAGGAGACTTGACTTTGGGTGGTGAATACACAATGCAGTATACAGATGATATATTATAGAATTGTACACTCGAAACCTATATAACTTATTGACTAATGTCACCCCAATAAATTTAATAAAATTAAAAAAAATAATAAAAGGAGGAGATCCTGGGAAGAGCACTGAGCTGGACCTCAGGATCCTGAGCTCTAAAATCCCAATTCTGCCCCTGTGTGACCTTGACAAGCCACTTAGCTCCTCGATGCTCAACTTCACCTGCAAAATAAAGGGACTGGTAGGCTCCTTCCAGGCGTCTGATTCTATAGGGAGGACTTGATCAACTGGGGAACCCATTTATAAAGCCTCAAGAATTAATTGGTGTTGGATCCTTTTTACAAGAAACGGGAGAATGAAAGGGACAAAGGCATTGGCCAGCATCACTGCAGCCACTGTGTGTGTGTGTGTGTGTGTGTGTGTGTGTGTGTGTGTGTGTGTGTGTGTGCTGCCTTATCTGGGTCATCGTTCAGTGAGAATTCAGTCCAGCCTAGTTCAAATCGACAGGATGTGCTTCCAGGTGCTATTGTGGAAGAGATTTTGGTGTAGTGTATTCTTTTCCATATGAGGATATTCACGTCCTTCCAGCTGTTTTAGGTAATAACAACAACAGCAACAACAAAAAACCCAAATCTTTTGGTGCCAGAGGTGGAAAGAGAGAGTTTTCCATCAAATTGTGAATATGACCTTGAATTCTGTAAATTCACCTCCCTTTGTCCCGTTTTACTTTCAAGGCACTTAGGAATTGGCAAAGGTCAGTCTCGTGCTCCCTTTGCCTGTATTTCTGTCTAGGTCAGTGAGGAATTTTAAATTGAGGCTTATAATCAGTTCCTTTTGTTTTTGTGCAGGAATGGGTTGGTTTCAGGACTGAAATTTTGCTTCAGGGAGAAATAGATACACTGGAAAGGAAATGAGCCATTCCCAAATCAAAATTAGAAACCATTCCTCTAATGAAATCAGTTTATTTTCCATTTCATTGGTAGAGCTGATGGAAATTTTACTGTCTCCAGCTGAGGTTCTTCCCTGAAGATAACATCGAAGGATGCTATTGAGATGGATGGAGAGAGAAGGAGCTTCCTGTTGTTTGAGAAATTTTACCCATACAGGCTCTGGATCTGGGAAAGTGGCAGACATGATTGTTCTATTCCTCACGTAGAAACTGAAGTGAAAAAATAGTTTTTGACTCAGGACAGAGACTTGAAGTTTTATATTCATTGCAGGAAGAAAACCATTGCCTTTGAGAAAGGAGGTTGAGAGTCAGGAGCAGTGGTGTGCTGGTAAATCACTTCTATGGGCTAAAAATAAGCCATGATTTATAGTGTTGGCCAGTTGCTGTGGTCTAAATCACCACTGGCTGACTTCAAGCTATCAATGCGATCTCACTGAACAGAGCTGGGAAGAGATACACACAATCTACTCTCACGAGCCTGAGTGGGCCAGCTCCAGCCACCACTGGAAGGAGTGAGAGGGAGGAGACAGAGAAGAGCTTTCGGAGCAAATGTGCTTGATGGAAAAGCAGGGAGGTTGAGTTATTTTTATTTTAGTTAAAAAGGTTTTGTTTTAATTCTAAGTGTGCCTGATTAGGTATCTGAGAACTCCTTTATTATGATTTGAAAAAAAATATGTATCATATTAGAAGCTCATGCGCTCAGAGAGCACATGTTATCTCAGGATTTTAATAATTACCCAGGGGAGCAACATTACTTTTTTAGCTTTAAAATTACGTATAAGTGCGAGTTCTAAAGAGAGGTCTAACAGGTTTTCTGTAATAGCTAGGGTTTAGAAAATTTGAGCATGAATCATATTTTTAAAATAACATCCCATTTTTAAGACACTGGTAAAGATATGGCATTTTAAATGGAAACCTGTAGCGAACCCTTTAATATGTTGAACATCTCTTTGCAGTGTAAGAGATTACCTTCTGACTTATCTCCTCGATGAATAATTTTTTAATCCAAAGTTTTTTGAAAGCAAGATATCTTTGTAGATACCTGAATGTATTCTAGGAAGGGATATATCCATGTAAACCTCTAAACCATACAGGCAAAAAGTTCCCAGGTTCCAAAATCAGTGTAGCTTGGGTTACCTGAGTTAGAAATTTGTTGCTTGCCAAAAATGTCTATATCTGGGCCTCATTCTAGTGTCATTAAATCAGACTGCTTAGGGTAATGTCCTAGAATATGCCTACTTAACAAGCTCCATAGGTGATTCCTAAGCATATTAAAGCTTGGGAATTATTACCCTGAAAGACCTGAGCCCATGCCCCTCCCCATTCTGTATAATCTACACTGATTTAGATCAGGTCATTGGTATTCCTGCCCCATTGCCAAGATGGTGGCATGATTTCAGGACACTGGAAGAAAGCCTGTGGCCCTTCTACCATTTCATGTTCTAATGAACAAAATCCCATAATTAGCCATCCTTCTCTTCACTTTAAGACTGTTATTTCTGGGAGAGGAAACACTGTAAATGGTTTCAGTCATTTACATCCTAATGTGAAGGAGTAAAAAAAATATCCTTTCTAGAGGAGAATGTGAGAGAATTGCAGGCTCATGGTATAGAAGCAGAGGGTTATTGTGGAGAGAGATGAAAGCAACAGACAGGAAAAGCTTGAGTATGTAAAAATAACATTTTAAATTTCGCCTAGATCTGGCCTGGAATGGCCTAGTTTAGATTCATTTTCTAGATGTTTTTAGAGTTGTAGAGAACTTAAGATATTGATTTTGCTACTGGGTTGTCGGAAAAATCATGACGCATTTTTGCAACAAAAAACATGCAAAAAGTACGTCATGACTTTTCCGACAACCCGATATTGGAAGATCCAGGACAAATCAAACCAACCATTTAAATCTGGGTTTGCAAATATATTTTATTTCCTGTGCCCAGTCTGATTGGTCACAGATACTTGGAAATCTATTGATGAGATTTAAGGCCCTGGGACACCAGGCTTAGCTCCAGAGAACTCTGATTGATTAATGTCTGCCTTGGCTGTGGGAGGGTAGGTGGTAATAAATGTGCTACTTATTTGCCATACCTAGTTTAGAAAAAGCCTGTCTAGACACAGACTGAAGCGATGCTGACATGGTATCATCAGAGTATGTAGGATATAATACCTCTGGAGAAAGAAGGTAATCGAGAGTACCATCCTTCATGTTATTCAATGCTTCATCACTTGGAACAAAAATAGTGTACGATCCACCAGCTCCATCGTCATCTAAGGCATGTCCCACATTGGTTTTCTGCATTTGAGAAATGAAATTTTACATTTTCAGCCTATCTCAGACAAATATTTGAGTAATTCCTCAAAAAAAATTTATAATCAACACCCTTGCTAATTTTACTAAGGACTGGGCAGAGCACATTTCTCAGAAACTCATGAAAAGGACATACCTCTAGCAAAGATCTGAACTTGCTGTATCTTGGTCGTAGCATTGTCATTATGGTTTGCTAAAAAGAAACATTTTGTTTAAAAATCAGTAAAAACAACAACAATAAAGGTGGTTTATTTAGGAACTAGATACCCTCACATTAAAACACTGATGACAGAGTTTTTGTGTCAGTGTGGATAGATATAAAAAGGCCTGGTCAACATTATACAAATATTTCTTATTGAAACAGTAATTGAAACCTGCACATTCTGAAGTAGCCTGTAGCCATCATCAAACAGGTCAGAGGGAACAAATTTTACTGAGGTGAGACTGCTCTCCTCCATAAAGCATGAAAGATAAATTTTCACTGGTCACTGGACTGAATTGTCAGATGTGGCTATAAAAGAGGTCACAAAATCAAGATCTTCCCTGCACCTACTGCATGCCTTTCTCTCTGAAGAGCTTTCCAGAATTCTGTTGAAAACAGACAAATGATCCCATCTCCCCCATGGTTGGGGTCCTAGTACAAATAAAGGACAAGTACATACTGCTGGCATGCATTTTCTTCTTGGATGTGACTCTCCAGGGAACAAAGGAAGATGGATTGGGGGCGACACCACTTTCGCCTGAAATAGCTCACCTCAGTGTCGCTCTTAAAGGTGGGTGCCATCTTGTCCATGGCTCTGTCGAGGATGTGCAAGAGCCCATTGGAAGCGATTATGTCCCCCTGTATAATTTTGACCTTTTTGCTGCCTCCATAGAGCTTAAGCTTTAGTTGATTATCCTAAAACACCAAGGAAAAAAAACTTAATGTGGTGTCCTTGAAGGAGTGAGCACTGGACTAGAAGGCAGAACCCCTGAGTCCTTGGGTTCTGCCATTTATTGGCTGTGTGACCTTGGATAAGTCACTTCACCTAAAATGGGGATGATGGTATCTGCTTGGCTGACTTCATAGGGTTTAGGTTAAGATCAATTGAGATAGTATGTCAAGTTATTGATGACTGTCACATGCTAAATATATATAAGGCATTATAAGTGTCCCTCAATAGACCACATGCTCCAAAAGGGCAAAACTATTCTATTTACTATAAATTCACCATCTATTTTAGTGTCTTGTACAAAGAAGGCACACAATAAAAAATATTGGTTGAATGAATAACTGAAGGGTGAATTCCTTCTTCCAATGTGGTACCTATAAGTTACAGACTTAGTAACTATTTATTAAATGAATGGATGAATGAATGCATGCATGTCCTTGTGAGAAAGAAAGCCACATCTCCATCCATCCATCCATCCATCCATCCATCCATCCATCCATCCATCCATCCATCCATCCATCCTCACACACACAATACAATACACTAGTTAAGGACTCAGGCTTTGGAGTCAGGCAGGCCTGCATTTGAATCCTGGCTCTGGCAAAGCCTCCTTCACAGAGTTGTTGTGAATCTTATATAACAAGTAAAGATTTACCCTGGTACCTTGCACAGAGTAAGGGCTCAATAAAAAACCTGTCAACTATTGACATTTGGTGAAATGCAATCATATACACCAACCCACACATACACATTCTGTCCATCAGTCACATGTACCCCAGCTCATGAAGTCACAGAAAGAGCTATTTGTGAAAGAGGAAGAGGATAGTTCTATTTAAAAAAACAAAACAGAACTAATGGCCTAAGGAGAGATGGAATGTTATGCTGGAGAGGATGGATAAACTCCAATAGTCTAAAACAAACACCATCCATTTCCTTTTGTGAGAGGAATGCTGATCTGGCATTGTGCTGATACTTCCAGGAAATGGGCTACTGCGGAAGTTTCTCCTTGCTGCTAGCAGTTGCATGATGGTTGCCTAGCAAACTAATTCAGACCAGAGCAAAATCACACGCTGTATGAAACCCCCTCTCTGTCACGGTGCACACCCTCCTAACCTTACCCTTTCCGATGTTGCTCTCCGCTTCTTCCAATATAGGGAGGTACTTTGACAGACAAGGAATAAGAAAAGAAGTCCTTTCCAAACCCCCAAACACAAAGAGCACCGACTCTGAGAGTGAACATCCGAGAAACCCTTACCTTCTCACCATTGAAGATTTCCCCTGACCTTCCAGTCAAGGTATAGAATGTGTCTGTGTTATTCATACGCTCTGTGTTCATCTGCCCAGCAATTATATGGAGTTTCACGAAGTACTGAGTGGCCTTACTATCCATCAAAAGCTCTTTTACCTAAGAAAGGAGAGCCAGTTTCTTTAGTCTCCATTGTTTGAAGGAGAAAATGACATTGGTATTTCATGCATTGACTTGTTCAGCATCAAAGACATCAAAGCCAGTGCCAAAATCCTCCCTCTGGTTTGGGCTCTTTCAGATACAACTGCCCTGGGCTAGGCCTTGAAGGGAGTAGAAATCTGGAGAGTGGGAGTTGATGCAGAGTATACTCTCAAACCACAGGAGGTGCCCTGGTGTGGAAAGGAGGGGCAAGGAGGGTGGCGGGCACCAAGGAATGACCTTGAGCCCAGGAAGCAGATGGAAACAAAATAATATGAAGTTACAGTGGATCAGTGGCTCTTTTGAACGGTACAATCAAGATTTTTGAAACCCATCAGACCAAATCTACATGGTGTCAGGGTATCGCCACCAATCCACCAGCAGATATGTTTTTTATTAACTTTGTGTAAATTCAATCTGTATATTAAACAAGAGACCACATGCAAAGTGCCTAGCCCAGAGGCATTCAATATCTACTAAGTTCCCCTCCACAAGAGCAGAGAAGTGAGGGCACCTCTGAAGATTAATGATAGACTCATCTCAGATGGATGAATAGTGGTGAGATATTAGAGTGAGAGAGTCTGGAACTTCCTGGATTTTTAATCAGTGCAGCAAAAATTATCATCACAAAGTATGCTGGATTAAGATAAACCAATTTTACACAAATCAGTGTCCATTACCGACATTAAATCAAATCTAAGTGTTTCATTGATACCACCATGATGCTACCCCTCCGTCAGGCCCTAGGAGTTGCATTCCCTCGAATGACATTATCTCAGACGCCAGCTGCTCACATTGAAGACTGCAATTTTCTTCTAGTTTTCCCTATCACTGTTACCATTTATGATAATTTTAAAGAAACAACTTAGCTAATGCATTCGTTTAATTCTTCCTGTAGGAAGTGACCAGTCTTGCATTATGCAAATCTTATTTAAGAACTCTTAGTGATTTGCCTTGAGGGGTGCTGATGGGAAGCGGGACCCAGGGGGGTCTTGAAGGGAGCTGGCAATGGTCTTGCTGGATACACAGTACATTCACTTTGTGACAATTCATTGAGTTGTGCACTTACAATTTGTGTACTTTCTGTCAGGTTGTTATATTTCACTGAAAGAAATTTACCCAAGTTATCATCTTATCATCAGTAGGTTTAATTTTAATTGGGTTTTCCTACTTTAGGTAAAACAAGGTACTGCCTACTAAGGTGTTTTTTGTTTGTTTGTTTGCTTTTGCATTAGTCCCTCCATGTAGATTTATTTTAAATACTTACATTGAATCCTTTCAGTCCCTTGTCTGTCGGCAACAGCACAGTGAATGGTCCCAGGTCACTCAGCGGCCAGGCATAGGCTTTGTCTTAGGAGTCGAAATTCACAAAGAAAGAAAACACAGGTGGGTCAGTGGTCCATGAGGAGTAAAATCAGGCATGGTCCTAGGGGACCATTTAGGCCCTCGACTAAAGAACTTCACTGTTCTAATTGGCATGTGCAGGCCCTCTGTAAACTGGGAAGCTGTCTAAGAATGGAAGGTGCCATGATGCCATGGTCCCCAAAAGGTTCCTCATAACTGTATGATTTTTCCCTGCAGCCACAATCTTGGCTCCAAGGATACCCAGGGATGAGAGGCTCTGTGAGGGTCATGTGACAACATCGTCAGACAAACGTACCCCGACCCTGGGCCCGACTCTGAGCTGTTGCCATCTCAGTGAACAAAGACGCAGCCCTTGTTCTATCCAGAGCCAACTCAGAAGGGCCCCATGCTTGGTTTAATGCTGTTGCCATCTTAAGATGCTTAATTATTTTTTATCAAAGGACCCCGACTTCTCATTTTGCATGGTGCCCTGCAAGTACGTGGCTGGCCCTGTTTCCATGCCCCTGGGGAAGCTGAGATGGAAGAGACGGCTCTGTGCTCTCCCACAGGAGGCCATGTGTACCAGCACTTCATAAACAGGGCAGGTGAGAGGTCGACTGGACTTCATCCAGGGAAAGGCTCGAGGGCCCCGCCTGCAAAGGATACTCTGTCACCCAGTCTGCTCTCATTTGATGACATTCTAAGAGTTCTTGGAGGGAAGCTGTGAGAAGCCTGGCAGATTGCCCGCGTCATGCCCGTAACACTTGACTCCCCTTGGATGCCTTGGAAAGAGCAGGACATTTATGCAGGTTGTCCAGTAAGATTTATGCTGAGAGCACAGCATTGACCCATGGAGGATATTTACCTCTTTATCTGTGCTCTTTCTGGGAAATCATTTTTGAAGACTGGTAAATTCTAAATCCTGATATTCTAAGGCTTCTGCTGATTGGTCAAGTCTGTGTTTTAGTTTCTGTTGATTGGCCATATTTGTACTTTATTGAAAGTCTTGTCTAACGCTGCTATCAGCTATGATATTTCATTTTTAAGGGAGTGTGGGATAATGACCTCTAGAGGGCATTTGGAAATGCAGGAGGGTGTTTTGGGCTGTCACCCTTCCTGGGGGCTAGTGGAGGATGTGTCACTACAGACAATTATTGGTTGAGGGGACTACGATGCTAAATATCCGGCAATGTGTGAGATGGTCACACACAGCCAAGACTATTCCCCAAATTCAGACAGCACTTCCATTGAGAAACATAGATATTACCTCAGGGGCTTAGTCCCTCTCTATTCCCAGTATTACCTGCCAACCTTGTTTCAAACCTGGAGGACCCACAGGACAAGGGAAAGAGGGTGGTTTCCATCTTCACATTGGTAGCTGCCCCATCTCAGTGTTGTCACAGACCTGCTAATCTATGGTGGCCTCAGGACCCTGTCCTCAGCTCTCTAATTGTTGCATTGCTGGATCTCTTGGCCCCAATGCCTGCTTGTCTCCATGGAAACAGCTGCTTGTGCTTTGCCTCCCACCTGCCTGATCCCTCCCTAGAAGGGCTGATCCCAACAGACAAGCCTTGCGGGGCCTGCCCACCCCTTTGTGGATGATCGGGTCTTGCAGATGCCCTTGCCCGAAAGAGGGCTGCCCTTGATGTGGAAATCTGACCCCGTAGCTGCGCTGCGTACCCAGGAGCGAGATGAAAGACGTCAGCCTTCCTTGCCATTTTCCTTTGGGTTCAGTGTTTAATTCTCTGAGTCGCTCCATGATGTTTCCATAACACGTTGAGCCATCGCCCACGTAACCTTTCTGGCAAGTGCATCTGTAGAGAGGGTGAGAACACAATCTCAGGGTCTTAGAGCCATTGGGCGGTGAGATCCTACAGTCCAACTCCCTCATCTGCACAAGATGGGGAAAGTGATGCCCAGGGTAGGCCAGGGACAAGGCTGGGAGAGGAGCGGCACAAACGCAAGTAAGCGTGCCTGGTGCAGTGCCTGCCATACAGTAGGCCCACAAGGAACGGCTATCCAATACATTATGCATATCCATAAACACTAGATATTTTTGTATAACCCTTGTCTTAGTATGTTTGAAAGTATGATCAAGAAGCAGTTGGAGTGCTTACTATAAATGCAGATTCTAGGGCTTCACTGCAGAACCGGAGTCCGAGTAAGCTACTGAAGCCAGCCTCAGGTAACCATTCAGAGCTATTGATCTGCTTAGAAGACTCTTCCCCTCCCCTTCCTTCCTAGCTGAGACCTCTGCTCAACTGCCCCTTCCTTAGGGAAATAGTCCTCGATTGTCCGTCCCCTTGCCAACCCCCCACTGTAGACTGCGTCCCCCTTATTGTGAACTGTCCCGGTACTGTGTAGCTCCTCTCTGTACCACCAGTGTCAGCTGTGATTGTGTTTGTATGTGGTTATTTGATTAATATCTGCTTCCCTATCTAATCCGAGGAAAGCGTGTGGGCAGGGGCAGTTTATTTATTCGCTGTTATAACCCCAGGATCTAGCACAGGGCATGGTCCATAGTAGGCACTTAATTAATAGTGGTACAGTAAATAGTCATTGAATTACAATACATATATAAACTATGAAAGTCACAGAATTTATACTATAGTTTCATAAAAGGTAAAGAGAGTTAAAGATGCAGTTAAAGATGTATTGGCAGTGGTGTGCTGGTAAATGTTGAACAACCTGCTTTCTGGGCAGGGTGGGGAGCCCCAATTTTCAGCATTTCCCAATTTCCATGGTTCATACTCCTACCTTGACCCATCTCAAGCTACCAATGTGATGCCAACCAGCTTGTAAATTTTCTGAAAACTTAACAATCAGCAAGTCTTGGCTCTAGCACACCACTGCTACCCAGCCAAGGTTAGTTGACAGCTGGCTGAACTTGGTAATGTGCTTAGGAAAGGTGACACTCACCAGGATCCTGGATGTGAGGACCCAAATATGAGGTAGAGAAGAGTGTTTCAAAGAAGAGAGCTACATGATGCTATTGGTCATACTATACCACAGATGTAAGTCATGTTTAGATTCCAAAGAACAGTTATGCACTCATTCGTCCACTTGTCCTATTGAATAAGGTTCCATGACAAATAGATATATTTTCAACAATTTTGCTGCACAAATGTTTCAGAGTCTTATACCCCTTGCTTGGATTGTTGCAATGACTTCCTAACTGGTCTTTCTGCCCTTAGTTTTCCTCCCTTCAAATCAATCCTTCACACAGCCCCCCTATGTGGTCTCTCCAAAAGAGAAGTCTGGCATCTCTGTGCTTAAAAGTCTCCGGGACTCCTTTCGCCTATAGAATAAGGTGTAAGTGCTTAGCATGACATATAAGGCCGTAAAGGGGCGTCCTGCTTATTTCTCCTTCCTGCCATTCACTGCAAATTCCAGCTATACTACATTGCTTTCTTAAGGCTGTGATGCCCTTCTCAGACCATCTGCCCTTCTAGCCATGCTCTCGCAGCCTCACTTATAGCTCACATGCTGGAGATGGACCCGAAAACATATAATTTAGAGCATCATGGTAAACCAATTTCCTTACCTATGTAATAAGTTTAATAATAATTTTAGTGCTGTCAAGAGAAGAAATAATGCACGAAAATCAGCTAGCCCAGTGACAGACACATAGAAAAAGCTCAATACTTGGAATATGATGATGATGATGATGATGACAACAACAATGGCGGTGATGATGGAGATGGTGGTGATAACAACAGTCATGCGGAGGAGCTGGAATATAGCAGGACAAGTCCATAAACAGATAACTTCAGTTCCATAGTAAGTGCTATGGTAGAAGATCTCATAGGATGTTATGGGGCATGGAAGAGAAAGTGACTAATTCTGCCTGAAGAACTATGCAAGAGGTTCTGCAAGAAAGTAACATTTAAGATAATCCCAGAAGAATACATAAATTTCCCAGCCAGACAAATTTACTGATTGTCTTCAGGGTTTTTATAGAGCAGTTGCTCTCAACCAGGGGCAAGTTTGCCCCCCAGGGAACATTTGGCAATGCCTGGGCACATCTGTGGTTGTCATAATGGGGGTGAGAGGCATCTAGTGGGCAGAGGTCAGAGATGTGCCTAACACCCTGCAGTGCCCAGGATAGCACCTACAACAAAGAGTTATCTGGCCCCAAATGTCAGCAGTGCTGAGGTTGAGAAACCTTGTTATAAGAAATCACTAAGGTAGATCTAACCACAAAAGAAGTCTATTTAATACAACCAAAAACCAGTTTCCTACTTAAGCATCAACTTCCTCTGCAAGTACTGTGCTACAAGACAGTGAACTTAAGAAAGCAAAGAGGGGGATTGGTAATGCTTGGAAGTGATACAATCATCATTGTTGAAAATTAATCCTGTTCTAAATTACGTAAGTTTCATTTGAGGACAACTGGTAACAGCAAGACAAGTGACTTGGACAAACCATTAAGTATGTGTCTCTCTAAAGCTTCTCTAAGTTGTTATGAGGCCAGTGATCTGTTTTGTGTGAAGTGACTTGACTTGTTTTTCCTAAGGATGGCAGGAGAATTGTATTTTAATGGCCTCAGTGCTGAGTGGAATGTATGAGACATAAATATTTTTTTATTTTGATTTAAAATCTCAGTCCAAAGTCTGAGACATCATGAGATAATTTTCCTACTTAAATGTTCTCACTTGGGCTATGGCACAACTCACAGCGTTGTCTCTTTTATAAACTGGTTCTTTAGTAGGTGTAAAGGTCTCCAGTTATCTCAGGGCTTTAAAAACACCCATACGCTATTTACATTTTGTAAGTTATGGGATGGGATTGACTAAGTTTAATGCTGGATAAGATTTAGTTTTATTTAATTATAGGGTGTCCCCAAAGTCTCAGTACAGTTGCTTCCTTCATTTCTTCATTTGTTCATTTCATTCCTCCATTAATTCATTTGTTCCTCCAAACTCATTCCATTGTTTCAATGGGGGACAGGAGTTGTTGCAAGAAGATGAATAGGACACGGACCCCCAAGGACCTTAAATTCTCATTGGGAATTGAGATCAGTAATGATAATAATAGTAACATCTATGGATAGTTCCTATGCCAGTCATTCTTCTAGGGGCCTTACTATGGTATCTTATTTGGTACAACGTTCCTATGAGGTGAGTTCTGTTAGTAGCCCTACTTTAGATGAGGAAACTGAGGTACACAGAGGGTAAGTATCTCACTCAAGATCACACAGCCTGTAAGTGGCAGTACCTGTGCTCATCACCATTGTATTATGCACCCATCACAGTTCAGGGTGATAAATAGAAGCATTCAGGGTGCCTTGAGAGCCCAGAGGGAGGGGTCTCTGAGTAGATAGGGGTGGTGGTGGCGGGGGAGGGACAGGGGTGACATCCTAGAGGTAGAGATACTGGACCTAAACACTGGAGGATCAGTGTGTCAGCCTGACACAGAGGAGGTGGGGAGGGAAGGATGTCTAAGCATGGGGGATATCACGGCATAGCTGAAGACCAAGCTAGTTCAGTAGAACTAGAGCTGAGGGTGTGTTCATGAGAGTGATAGAGATAACGGTGGCTCATCCACACCCTCTGTGAACAGCCATTCTTGGCCATACCTTGGGGAGAATGGTCCTTGGAAGGCCCTGTGTGTGTTCCGAAAGTGTTTTGGAGCTGTTGGGGGGAGAATTATGGGGTCCTGGATACCTAAGTGTGGTCTGTAAGGGGGACTCAGGCTCTGGGAGAGCACATCCTCGTGGTCCTTCAGACTCCTTGCCCTGGTATGGCCAGCAGAGGGCCACATGGGGCCCTCTAAACTGTGGTGTCCACGGCAGGGCCCCCTGTCACTCAGGTCTAAAGGTCATACTGCTGGAAACACATGGGGAGTGGCCAAGCTGGGATTCAAACCTGGTCCGTCTGGGAAAGCCCATGCTCTCGCCTATGCACAGTGTAGCCTTGGACAGGACTCTAGGGAAGATTGTTCACAACAAGGAACCCTAGCCTGTACAAGTCCTATACAAACATTGAAGTCATCAGTGTCACCCCTGTTCCAAGAGTCTCTAGATTTCAGTGTGATTTATTGTACATTTGTACAGTCGGAATGTAAACCACACTTTTCCAATACGCCTTCTCAGTTACATCCAGTCTTTCCAGGTGAACTGAATCCATGCAGAGAGAAATGCTCCTCTCCTCCATCACTGCTGACATCCCACCTCTACTAAGTAAAAGTAAACACGCGCAGTTGTACCAGACATGAAGCTATTTGTTCTCCTTAGTAATAATCTAAATGGAACTTAGAGTTTAAAGTGTTAGCACTTCTCAGGGAGCTATTCTTGGTGTCTAGCCCGACTTGTCAGGTGAGGAAACTGTGGTTCAGAAAAATTACAAGTCCAAGGTCACTCCAGGGGCAAATGGTAGAGCCCACATTTGAACCCATTTTTTTTATTGGGTGGTCTTCTTTTTCTAACACAGTATGATTTTGAATATTCTCCATAAACTGCCATATTGAGAAGGAATAAACAAAATAAATCTTTATCCTATAATCAACTCTCCTAGGTGAATTAAATTACCTAAATTATTGATGGTCCCGTATTTTACAGTGTAACTTAACCAGCCTTTACCTAGGCCTCTTTTCAGCTGAAGACAGTCAATTTTGGGGGGGCGGGGGGGGGGCAGTGAGGGGATCAAGGAGGTTTGTGAGTGACACACATATCCCTACAATCCATTGTTAGGTCCATTGACAGCCTAAACACAAGTTTCAATGCAACTTATATTATTCTGACATTCCAGTTTCATTTTTCAATTTTACCTTCTCAAGCACAAAGGGAAGAAAGTGTTTATTCTGCTCAAGCTGTCTCAGAGCATGGTGGAAATTGTGTAAGCTGGCTTGTTTGGTTGTTAGTATTACCAGAATCTGTGTTTCAGGAGAAGATGTGCCTGTGTATTACGTGGGCTGGGTGCATATGTGCCTATTCTCATGGCCGTGGTGTGTTTGTATGTACACTCACACGTGTGGAGAGATTTCCATGTGCCAGGTCCTGCTCAGAGACTGATGAATGTAATCTCATGCAATCCTCACCACAGCCCTCCTTCTCCCCTTTTTATGACAGAGGAAACTTCAGTTCAGAGAGGTTCAAGTTTAAGTGGCAGAGCTGGGATTTGAACACAGAGGTTCTGGCACCCAAGCGCTTTCCATTCCACCCACAGTGAGTACAGATTTGCTTATGTGCCCAGATAGAACTTGATGATCACAAAATCTACCTGGGCAAAATCCATACATTCAAGACCCAACTATGAAAGGAATGAACTCCAGAGAAGATAGAAGTGGGCTCTGGAATGACAGGAACTTGTTTTATAATTACACGGTTCAATGTCTTATATGGTTTTGAGCTCACAATGGCAGCGTGGTCCTTTGTAGATGTCAATGACAATGACAACTGAAAGTGGCACCGAGAGAGGAGCTTCAGTCTGGGGGTCAAAAGACTTGGGTTCTAGACTCAGTTCACCCACAAATAACAACAATACAGCTGTACAGCAGTTTCTAGAACATTCTCTCACGTAATCTTCGCAACAACCTTATGAAGTAGATATCACTGTGTGAAACAGGCCAGAAAGATGATGTTACTTTCCCACGGTCATGCGGCCAATAGATATGAGTGCAGAGACTCAAATCCAGGTCTCTAAATTCCAAATACCATGTCCTTCCCATCATGTGAACTGCCTCTGCCTCAGGAGTTTCCACAAGTATTTTTACTCACAGTAAACCCCTTCTTTTGAAACCTGGAGTCCAGGAAACACCAGTAGTGTTTATTCACTTTCCCTGGTCTTGTTTTGCACCACTAACGAGCCATATGTCACAGGTGAGGAAACAGACATATACATTAGAGGTCAAACCTGCAATCGCAACAGGCATTTGTTTTCCCACGCTCTGACCACTTAATACCATGTCAGAAGGCCAGGTCAGTGTTTCAGACTGTTCTAATGGTCATTGCAAAGGAAACCATTTTTGAATGATTCATTGATTAAACAAAGATTCATTGAGTACCTACTATGCTCCTTGCATTTTGTTATATGGGGTTGAGGGAAGATGCAAGACTCAATAAGACACATTTCCTGCCCTTCAAGGAACTTACAGCATTGACCGGCCACCACTTTAACCACTTGGAAAGATGGTGGTGGAATGGCAAAGACTTACTTGGTTTGGCCTGGTGCGATGGTGGTGCAGTTTGCATTCTTGTGACAGGGGTTATTAGATTGACAGATATCAGTCATGCTGCACCCCACTCCAGGCACAAAGTTGTGGTAATGCTCCTTACACTCACAGTGAGCCTTCAGTAGACAGGGAGAGAAAAACAAAGCAGGGTTCTAGTTAGTCACATAAGCTGACTTTCTTCTTCTTCTTTTTTGTTTGCTTCAAAAAATACCCATTTATTATCGTATTGTTTCTGTGGTCAGGAATCTGGGCACAGCTTAGTTTGAAGACCCTTTGCCTCAGGGTCTCTCATGAAGCTACAATAGAGGTGTTGACAGGGGTAGGGGGTCTTATATGTAGGCTCACATGGGAAAGAGCCAATTTGTAAACTCACTTACATGGAAGCGGACAGGATTCATGGGGATGTAGAGAACAGCTTAGGGAATATTGTCAATAATATTGTAATAACCATATATGGTGTCAGGTGGGTACTAGACTTATTGGGGGATCACTTTGTAAGTTATTTATATGTCTATTACGTGTACACCTGAAACTCTTATAATATTGAAAGTCAACTGTAATTGAAAAATAAAATCAAACTGACATTCTTCTCAAATTCATATCTTTATTCTGCCATAAAAACTAACTTGGGGTAGTTCAAACTGTGGGCTTAAACTAGAAGTTGGTCAAAGTGTCTAGAATTGAAAACCATGTCTATCTATGTCATCTGTTTGGAAACTCATATACTTTGTTGGTAGTTTACCTTTTCAGTTTTCTTGTTTGTTAACCCTGGGCCTCACTGGCATCAGGATTCCTGGTTTTAGATTATCTACAGGTGGATAGAAATTGAGGTCCAGATGGGAAGTATTATTGCTCCAGGATAGTGGTTTTCAACTGGGAGTCTCAACTCAAGGGACATTGGGCAATGCCTAGAGACATTTTTGATTTTCACAGTGGGAGAGGGAGTCAGTGCCACTGGAAGCCACGGATGCTGCTAAACACCCTACAATGCTCAGGACAGCCTCCCACAACAAAGAATTATCTGGCTCAAAATACGGTCAATGCCAAGGTTAAGGAACCCTGCTCTGGAATAATGGAAACAATGAAAGCACTGCTTCTGAGTGAGCGATGGAGGGCTTCTAAGACTTGAAAAAACCTGCCCTGAGACACTTTTTAAGAGACAAAGTATATTTTTCACCTCACTCCCAAGGTCGTAGGACCTTGGTTCAGAGTGTAACATGACTTTGCCCATAAGGGACCTCATTTAGAGGATGGGAGTTCAGCCTTTAGAATTTCTCACAAATCTGCCTCAGAAATTGATAGCAGCAATGTTGTGTGATATATTCTTTTTCTTTGGAGGTGAGATTGGGTGGATTCTCTGCAAGGACTGCTGAAAGCATTCCCCTGGAGTGCTGATTAGACTGCTGGGGACCCATGACTGTGTTTGAATTGGCCATTTGACACCTTTCCTCCCACCCAGGCAGCAACGGCCTCCTGTACGGATGAATTTCCTCCACTGAACACTTGATGTGCAGTTATGAGTGCAGTAGGCACCCACTAAATATTTGATGGATGAATGAAATATTAGGGAAAATGCTCTTTCAGTTATACCTCTCAGCAAAGTTCTCCTGACCAGGCTGAATTTTAACCAGTTGAGGTCATAATTTTACCAGTTAGAGGGTCAGGGTCTCACCCCCAGAGTGTCCTCACTGATCCCCACAATCTGTCAGTGCTGCCTGACATTTTATCAGTGTCCATCCCTTTGGGATAGAGTATTTTTGGTTCTAAGAGTCCTCTCTTACCTTGAAAAGAAATTAGACTAGGGGGTTGCTGGTGAAAGTCAATTCCACACTCACCCAAGACTTGGTTCACAGTTAATTTGTTAAACTAATTGTGTATATATTTTGTCAATCAACATATAGGACTGGAGTAGAATAGAATGGAGGACAGTTAAGGTTTGCCTGGGGTTCTTAGAAAGTGTGAGTGTAGAGGACGAGCTGGAGAAGAGACACGCTGAGGCCAGCCCTGAGCACATCCAAGGCTGTCTAGAGAGGACGCCCAAACAGAACATTGAAAGGGAGGATTGGAAGGGCACCAAAAACAGAGTATACCTATGGCACGTTTTTACCTGCGGTGGGTTGTGCTACTTCTATTTGCATCAGTTCCATACATCATTAGCTCACCTGTCCGGGCCCATCATATTTGCACACTGTAGACTTTGCAGGGCAGTTTCCAAAGTTAATTTGGCAGGGGTCAACTGGTAAGCACACTTGACCATCCCCGTGGTAGCCTTCTTGGCATGTACAATTGTGCTGATTTGGTCCCAGGTACGTGCAGCGAGCATGAGGGTGGCAGATACTTTGCAAACATGGATTAATGGCTTGAGAGGCAATGACAAAAGAAAAGGCGGTTACCACACTCAGGATGGAGAAGGGAAACTGAACTGTGAAGGGACTGCCAATCACGGCTCATCCAAGCAATTCAACAATTTTAAGAGAGGGAGTCACAAACCTTTCGTCTTACCCTACCTGATCGCCCCTACCTACCAAACAGATTCATATTTGGCCATCAGAGATTATAACTACAAATATGGTGTTGATATATTATTATGCCATGTTATGCGTGAATGTAAATATAAAATAGCATGAAAAAAAGCACCAATGCTTATAGAATTTATAATATGTACTGGGTTCTGTTCTAAGCATTTCTCATACATTAACTCAGTTAACCCTTACAATCTTCTAAAATAAGTACCACTATTATCCCCATTTGATAGATAGAAAAATGCAGGCAAAGGCAGATTAAAGAATTTGTCCAAGGTCACGTAGTTGGTAATAGGCAGTTCTGGGATTTGAACCCAAGCAGTCTGGCTCCAGTTTCATGATGAGCATTTTGCTTAGAACTTTTTATGTATTTCATTCAACAACATAGAGAGAAATGGAACTGGTCATTGAATTAATATTAGGGAGGTTGTGAGTTTTTTGGTGGTTTTTTTTTTTCTGTTGAGTAACCTAAACATCTCAATTAATAAACTAGCAGGATCTAAACTCTACTCACGCTCGCAGTATTTGCCGTCGCCTTTGTAATTGGGAAGGCATTTGCATTCTAGTTTTGTTTCATCTTCGCTGGAAGGTGAGCATCTGGAATTTTCTGGGCAGAGCAATGCTGCACATTCGGGGATGGCTGCAAAGGAAGATTGTTGAGGTATCTGCACTAGTAGAATAACCAGTTATAAAAAACTCAACAAATGCAATATTCCCTATTATTAAAAGTAATAAAGATGAGCTTTAATAATTAAAAAAATACAGAATGCATAAAGTAAAAATTAACTGTCTTTTTATTCTTACTCTCCCATCCTATTCCCAAAATCACCAATGCCAACAACCAAAACAATACATTTATGTATAAATTTACTTATATAATTTAAAAAAATGGAATCCTGTTAAAATATTTAGAAACTTGATTTTTAATTTAACACTATATTATGGAGGTCTTTAAGGATCTACTTTATATCTCTTAACTGCAAAGTATTTTACAATATTGATGGAACATATATTATTAACATAGTTATTAAAAACTATAAAGAGTCTGACATATTAGTCAACTTATAAAGCTAACAAATTGGGCTGATTCAGTTTCATGGATGGTAGAAGATATGAGACTCCTGGGTCAGAGATTAAGGACATTTTATTACTCTCATTAAGAGCAGTAACCAGAGTGTCAGAATTTTTGTACCATTTCTTCCAAGCCCCAGTTCCCATAGGGCAATGCAAAGAGGGCCAGGCTGAGACCTGACCATATAGTAGATTTCATTGTAGGGGAGGAGCCCTGATTTTAGGAAACCCAACTTTTATTTTAAGTAAAAAAAAAAATTATTTTTTTTGTTTAATAACAGGCAATATATTAATTAGGGCCCATGCAGAGGACAGAAAACACACAATACTTTGAACAGGGGAAGTTTTAGTGTAGAGAGTTGTGAATAGAGAATTGTAATAATGGGGAATTGGTTTGTGGGAGTTAGAAAGAATTCTAAAAAATAAAGGAATAACACAACTATAAAGAGCAACCATTACTCCCGGGCTGAGATAAGTAACCAAGGTAAGTCCTCCTTCCTCCAGGGCTGAGACCCAGATGTCGTTGGAGAGAGCATGGCCTTGGTCACTGGATGGTGGAAAAGGTGCTGAGGTGACTTGATGGTGAGAATTGCTCGTTGGACACTGCACAATGTCTTCTTAAACCTTGAAATCAGATTGGAAACTACACCCTCGTTTCAGTCAAAATGATTTTTACATGATACTTGCTTTTTATCACAGCACTCACTGAAAATGCAACTTTGTAAAGATATGATATCATTGAAAGGACTGTAGTGCTACCTAATGTTGCAATTGTGGCCTAACTCAAGCTAGGAGCTCATACAGTATTCTACAGATGCATCATTGTTTCCCTGAAAAATTTAAAATATCCAGTAGCAGCCTTATGAGTATGATGTGGTACCTTGGGATGCTTGGGGCAGCTTTGTAACCGTAGTGTTCAGCCATTGAATTTTTATTTTTTTCTTACAGCAGCTAGCATTATTGTAACTAGTAAATGATGTACCACAATTTATTCAACCATTTCTTACTGATGGACATTTAATGTTTCCAGCTTGTTTTACTCTTACAAACAATACTGTCACGAATTTCTTTGTATACATGTTCTTACCTACTGGTGCTTACCCCTCCTTTGCTCTGGGTAAATTCCCAGAATTGGGGCTACAGCAGCAAACTGTAAGCACACCTTAAAATTTAATAGATACATTTCCTTCATAGGTTGTAGCAATTCATATTCTCACTATCAGTACTGTAATTTTTCTCACACTCAGAGATAGATATTGTCTATTTTTTTTTTAGCTGAGCCATTTTGCCACCTGTTGGCAGCTCAGCGGCAGCTCAGCTTGGGCCGGGAATCAAACCGGTGACTCTGTTGCTCAGAGCTCACACTCTTGAGTGAGCTCTTAACCAACTGAGCCACTCGGCTGGCCCTGATATTATCTAGTTTTTAAAAAAGATGTTTATTAAAATATAGCTAACATACAATATTATATTAGTTTCAGGGGTACAGCATAGTTATTCAACATTTATGTATCTAAAGAAGTGATCACCATGATAAGTCCAGCAACCATCTGACACCATACCATGTTATCACAATATTATTGACTATATTCCCCATGCTGCACATTACATCCCCATGACTTAATTTGTTTTATACCTGGAAATTTGGACCTCTTATTCCCCTTTGCCTTCCCCCCCTTTTAAAATTTTAAATTACAGTTGACATTTGATATTATTTTGTATTAATTTCAGGTGTACAGCATAGTGGTTACACGTTTGTATAATTTAAGAAATGAACCCCCTGACTAGTTTAGTATCCACCTGGCACTATACATACTTATTGCCATATCACTGACTGTATTCCCTAAGCTTTACTTTACATCCTCATGGCTATTTTGTAACTACCAATTTGTACTTCTTAATCTCTTCACCCTTTTCACCCTGCCCCAACCCTTTTGCATCTATCACCGCAACAAATCTAGTACCCATCTGACACTATACAAAATATTACAATATTACTGACTATACAGTCAATTCCTTATGCTATCCCATACATCCCCATAACTGCTTTGCAACAACAAATTTGTACTTCTTAATCCCGTCCCATTTTTTCACCCACACCCCCAACCCCTCTCCCACCTGGCAACCATCAAAATGGTTTCTGTGTCTATGAGCTTGCTTCTGTTTTTGTTTGTTTATTTTGTTCTTTAGATTCCAAATATAAATGAAATCACGTTGCATCTGTGTTCCTCTGTCTACACTCCACTCAGCACAGCACCTTCTAGGTCCATCCATGCTACTACAGATGGTGAAAACCCATTCCCTTCCATGACCAAGCAATATTCCATTGTATATATGTACCACCTCCTCTTTATCCATTCTTCCATAGACAGACATCCAGGCTGCCTCCACATCTTGGCCATTGTAAACAATGCTGCAGTGAACATATGGATGTACATGTCCCCTCAAGTAGTGTTTTGGGTTTCTTCAGATAAATACCCAGAAGTGGGATTACTAGGTCCTTCTTTGTCTCTTGTTATAGCCTTTTTTTTAAAGTCTACATTGTCTGGTATAAGTATTGCCATCCCAGCTTTTTCTGTTTTTTTTTTTTAATTTCCATTTTCATGAAATATCTTTTTCCATCCTTTTACTTTCTCTCTCTCTCTCTCTCTCTCTCTCTCTCTCTCTCTCTCTCTCTCTGTCTGTCTGTCTTTCAATCAGAAGTGAGTCTCTTGTAGGCAGCATATGTAAGGGTTTTGTTTTCTTATCCATTCAGCCCTCCTATGTATTTTGATTGGAACATTTAATCCATTTACATTTAAAGTAATTGTTGATAGATATGTAGCTATTGCCATTTTATTATTCATAATTTTAATCTTTTTCTCCTCCATCTTAAAGAAGTCCCTCTAACATTCCTTGTAATACTGGTTTGCTGGTGATGAACTCCTTTAGCTTTTTCTTTTTTGTTTGAGAAGCTCTTCATCTGTCTGATTCTAAATGATAGCCTTGCATGCATGGTAGAGCACCCTTCATTGTAGGACCTTGCTTTTCATCACATGAAAATTTTGTGCCAATCCCTTCTGGCCTGCAGTTTCTGTTGAAAAATCAGCTGACAGTTATGGGAGCTCCCTTATAAGTTACTAGTTGTCTTTCTCTTGCTGCTTTTAGGATTCTCTCTTTGTTTTTAAACTTTGTGATTTTAATTATAATGTGTCTTGGTGTGGGCCTGTTTGGGTTCATTTTTTGGGAGGACTCTCTGTACTTACTGGAATTATGTGTATTTCCTTTGCCAGGTTAGGAAAGCTTTCAGTCATTACATATTTCTTCAATTAGGTTCTCAATCCCTTGCTCTCTCTGTTCTCCTTCTGGTATTCCTATGATGTGAATGTTGTGCTTGATGTTGTCCCAGAGGCCCATTAAACTCACTTCTTTTTTTTTTGGATTCTTTTTCTATTTGGGTGTCTTCTGATATCTTGTCTTCCAAATTGCTAATTCGATCCCCTGCTTTATCTGGTCTGCTGGTGACACCTTCTAGTGCATTCTTCATTTCAGTTATTGTGTTCTTCACTTCTGACTGGTTTTATTTTTATGGTTTCTATGTCTTTTTTTTTTTTAAGATTTTATTGGGGAATTGGGGGAGGGGAACAGACAAGTTGCTGTCGTTTTGTTCTTCAGTCTAGTTGTGGAGGACGTTGCTTCACTGGCCCATGTTGGTATTATCATTGCACTCTTCCTGGGTGAGGCAGATTGGCCGCCGGCCCCTGGATGGCCGCTCACAGAGGCTCTTGGCAGCTCATGCTGGCTGCCAGCCACACGGTAGCTTATAGCAGCCCACTGCAGCCTACGCAGTCCCTGGTGACTCACGGCAGCCCAGCTCCAGGTCGATCTGTTGTTCACCATCTTAGCTGTAGAGGGCGCAGTGTCACTGGCCCCCATGTGGGATCCGAGCCGGGGCCCTGTTGCTTAAAGCTGGCGTCCCAAGCCAACTCTTAACCAACGCGCCACTTGGCCGGCCCTTCTATATGCCCTTTTTTATGCTTGCTATCTCTCTGTTAAACATCTCACTAAGTTCCTTGAACATACTTATAACTATTGTTTTGAACTCTGTCTCTGGTAGGTTGCTTGCCTCCATGTTGTTTATTTCTTTTTTTGAAGTTTTCTCCTGTTCTTTCATTTGGGATGTATTCCTTTGTTTCCTCGTTTTGGCTCTCTCTCTGTTTGTTTCTATGTATTGGGTAGATCTTCTGGGTCTCCCGGTCTTGGCTGGGTGGCCTTATGTAGTAGGAGCCCTGTAGGGCCCTGGCACAGTCTCCCCGGTCACCTGTTTCGGGTTCTTCAGGACTGTTCCTTGTGTGGGTTTTGTGTGCCCTTCTGTTATAGTTGCGCCTTGATTGCTATTGGCACTTCAAGGGATGGACCTGGCCCTTAGGCTGATTGGCTGTGGGATTTGGCCACACCTACAGCTTATGGGCTGCTGTGTGGAGGGAGGGCTTATCCCACTGAGTGAGATTTCCCCAGTGGGCTCTGGCACCTGGTTAAACTACCCTTTGTGTGTGCCACTTGTAGGGCTAATTGCGTGGTGCTCTGCTGTGGTCTGAAGCCAACCTCCAGGTATGTTGGTTCTGGGGCCTCTTGGGAGGGGCCCCAGTGCAGGCCCAGATCAACAACTGCCTGTGACCAGCTGGTGGCTACCTGATAGGAGCTCCAAAGTGATCTGCAGTTGTTCACTGCCTGTGCTAAACCTGGAGGCACGTGGGAGAGGTCATGCTGTGAAGGAGGATGTATGCCACCAGTACCGGGCTTGGGGTAGCTCTGCAAAAAGCCAGGATTCTGAGGCCTGTTGCTACCTGCCATCTGCCTTAATGTTCAGCCACTGATAAAGCCTTGTGTGGTACACCATTTGGGTGAGACAGAGTGTCAGGAAATAACTAGAGTGGGAAGAGTTGTGGTCACCAGGTTAATGTAAATTCTGATTTGGTGACAGTGCTGAGTTTGGAGCTACTCAGCAAAGGTCTCAGAGCACACGGAGGCCAGTCATCGCCTGCTTGGGGAAGGGGGCTCCAATAGTTTTCCAAGGAAGAGTGCAATGTGGGTGGGGCTGGCTGCTGCAGAAAAAGTGCCTCTGGCATTGGGGAATTGGGTGGGGTGGGTTCCCAGTGAGTCAGCAGAATGCAGTAGCTTCTTGGCTACTTTTCATTTCTTCTCCTGAGAACTGGCTGCTCCTTGTCCAATTTTAAAATTGGGTTCATGGATTTATATTGTTATGAAAACCTTTCGCCATGTGGATTGCAAATATGTTTGTAGCAGTCTATTGTTTAGCTTTCGACTCAACAGAATAATTTTGTCATTTGCAGGCAAACATGTCCGTGTTCTCCATTTGGCTGGCCTCTGGGCTGGGTCTCCTGTCTTATTAAGAAGGCTGGGGAATATGGCTGAGTGAGGTCTGCACAAGGGTCATCCTATCCACCTGAGTTTCATTCTTCTGTAGATTAAAACTGGTTGTTTGCACGCCTGTTTCCTCCACAGGAAGAAGGCAGGAGCTGTGTTTTATTCATTCCCTCTTACTAGCATTGCTCAGCTCCTCGACAGCTTTCAATAAAATGAGTTTAAATTGATTGAATTTGAATTTTGTCCAATCCCTTCATCTTACAAAACAGAAGAGTAATATCCAGAGGATAAGTTATGTGAGGCTAGTTCCACAGGCAGAATGTCCAATTTCTTAAGGTCTACGCTCTAAATTCACCCTTCATTACCTGCTCTATGATCACGGATAGGACTCTGAACATTTCTCCATTACAGTGATATGTTAAGCTTGGGCAGTAGAGGGTGCTGGAGGGCCATGCAGGAGGAAGGGGTTCCTCTTCCTGGTTCTGTTGTGCAGTGTTGCACTTCTGCTGTTTGCTGGCTGCTGCTGCACAGTCTGTCAGTTGTGTGGATATGTGAGGACATCCAGTGATGCTCTGCTCCAGCCATGCACTCAGAGTGCACAGTTCATCAGTGACCTTGCATCCTTGTTCTGGACCCAGTGACCACCTTCCCACAGCCCACCCCCCACCAGACATCACATACTCCAGTTTAGCATGTACAGTGTCCCAACTGTGTGTTCACTCATCAACCTTGCTCATCCGTGCCCTGGAGGGTTGTTGCTTGCCTGCAGGGTGACTGTGGTCCCATGCTGGCTTGGCCAAACCAGCAAATGTCTCCTCTAAGTGGCTGTCACCACACCTCCAACAAGATTTGAACCCAGCCATGGGGATAGCTATCCCCTCCCACCTTTGTTCTTCCTTAGTTATGCTCCCTCAGCCCTAGAGTTCGCTTTGCATTTTCATTTTTATAGCCACTCTCCTATCATAGCTTACGAATTCTTTATATTAAATTTCCCTTGTTTCCGTCACTCTGTGGTTCCCATTTCTTGATTGGACCCAATGTGATAGTTTGCTTAAAGAATTTCAAGTGATTGGAGACCCAGCTCTCCTATTTATTAGTTTTGCGACCTTTGGCGAATCACTTAGCATCTTTGGAGCTTCCATTTCCTGTTAATATGTTCTGTCTTTGAGAACATGGCTTACGAGGTGCCTAACTTGCTGCAGTGGCCACACTGGTTTCCCAGTTTTCCATCTTCCTCCCCATTCTGTCTTTCGCACTACCATCAGCTTGCCCTTCCCGAAACACAGCCAGAGCCACGTCACTGCATTGCTCCAAACCTTCTGAGACTTCCAGTCTTTTCTGCCATCTCTTCTCTCCCCTTCCCTCCCCTCCCCCTCCCCTTCTTTATCCCTCTTCTCCTTTTTTTAAAATTTTTCTCCCTTTTTAATTTTTGGTTTTCTTCCAGCAAAACATTTGATGTAGAGCCCCAGTACGTGAATATGCAATGGACATGCATACATCTGTGCCCATTTGGTCTGGTGTGGCATTCGGGAAACCAGCGGTACTTACGCTCGTCACAGTTGGGGCCCGTATATGCAGAGTAGCACTCACAGGTTCCATCACCGTCGCGTCCACTGTTGCAGACTCCATGCACACAGTTGCACACTGCCGACAGAAAACGGGGACTTTTTTTATATCATTTTGATGTTTTGTTCAATAATCTAAGAATATGATTGTCATGGATTAAATTTTATTTCCCCAAAGGATATGTTGAAATCCAAGCCCTCGGTACCCCAGAATGACCTTATATGGAAACAGAGTCACTGCGAATGTAATTAGTTAAGTTGAGGTCATACTGGCATAGGGTGGCCTTGGTCCAGCATGACTGGTGTCCTTATAAGAAGAGGAGAGGGCACAGACCTATGAGGAGAAGGCCACGTGATGACAGAGGCAATGATTGGAGTGATGCTGCTACAGGCCACGGGACACCTCGGGGTGCCCTAAGCTGGAGGTAGCAAGGAAGGCTCATCTCTTAGAAGCTTTGAAAGGAGCCTGGCCTCGCTAACATAGTGTTCTTCGATTTCCAGCTTCCAGAGCCGAGACAATAAATTCCTGGTTTTTTAGCCACCTAGTTTGTGGTACTTTGTACCAGCAGCTCTACATAACTAATGAAGTGACTTAGCTTGATTATTGAGGTTCTGATGCCCCCTTCCATTCTGCAGCTGAGGCACATGCCTCCCTCGCTTCACCCTAGAACTGGCCCTGCACTTGCCTTTATTGAGCTCTTACTATCTACAGAGCATCCTGCCACACGCTTCGTGTGCATCATCTCATTTCAAGCTGACAGCGCCCTGTGAGGTGAGCATCACTAACACGGTATAGCGTATGAAAAATGAGAGCAAACGAGCTCAAGCACTCGTGGAAATAAGTGAAGAATTAAATCAGATTGGCAAGTGTCATCCTTCCTTCAAAAACGGATTTGCCGCTGTTTCTATTTTAGCGAAGCACTTTGATGTCCACCTGGGGCTTAGCTTTTGGAACAGATGAGTTTCCAAGAGAAGGCAAATTGGTCATGGAGATAACTGCGGTGAGGAGCGGGTGTATCACTGGCTCAGCAGAGAGGACCGTTCAATGGCCCCAGGTCCTACCTAGTGGCAGGCAATGAATTAGGCACGGGGGATAGAAAGATGAGTAATTCCCAGTATTTAAATTCAAGTTCACAGTGTGGTGCAGAAGCCAGACCCTAAGAGATACAATGTTGTCATAAGGTCAATGGAAGAAGGCGAAGAGGTGGAAGAGGGGAGGTCAGTGTGACTCAGCCCCTGCTCCCAATTTAGATGCTCACCGTAAGAGCTGTCCTTGTCACTAAGCTCCTCCTCTGGGCTCAGGAACCTGCCATGAGCCCCTCCCTGTGTCCTGCCTTCCAGCACAGCCTCTGAGCTGGATTAACTGCCTTGGCACAACTTTAGGGACCTTCTGACATGCATCTCAGGGCTGCAAGCCACTGCCAATAAAGTGTCCTTGGGACGGAGAAGTGAGTGGCAAAGGGATTCTCAGATGTCATTTAAAGAGCCCCTGGTATTTGTTACAAATCTTTAGAGACACTCAAAACTTGAGGTGTGTGACTTTAAAGTGGTCAAAGCCGTGGCCACTGGGTTAGAAGGACAGTGCACAAAGCCCCCTGTGCCGGGCTCCTGGGCACAGTGAGCTGCTCCTTCACCCGTGTTCCTGTAGCATCCTGTGGTGCTGTGCACACTGGGTCATAACCGTCACCCGTGTTTTCAGCTCCTTGGGGGTGGGAACCTAATCTCTCCCCTATTTGGATCCCCCTCACCTGTCAGCGGTCTGATGGTGGACGCTGGCCAGTGGCAAAATGGTGCAATGCTTGGGTGTCCAGGCTGTAGAGTCAGACATTAAGGTCAAATCCTGCCTCTGTCCCTATAATAGCTGTGTGACCTTGAGAAGCCTCTCTGTTTCTTCATCCATAAAATGAGGAATCCAGCTTGAAGGGTTGTTGTAAAGGGCCGAAGAGATCACGTATGTCCAGCCTCTTCCCACACTGCCTGGCACACAGCAGGTGCTCAGCAAATGCCAGCTGCTGCTAATGAACAAGGCATGATTGTGGGGCTGATTTGAAGGTCATGCCAGAGAAAGTGGGCTTTGCATTCTGCCCCAACCAGGGGTGAGGTGCTGAGCAGGCGAGAGCCTTGACAACGGACATGAAAATCCTTGGCTAAGGCAGCCCTAAATCATGTCTAAATTAATCACCAGTCGGGTAGGAGAATGCTCCGGCATCAGGTTAAAGTCAGCGTTAAAAATAAACTGCAGCTAATAGAGCTGTCCTACTTACAGGCAGAATCACCACCTCCGAGGGACCAACAACTCAGTGGATGAAACAACACTGGCACCCAGTGGATGCCCGGCTGCAAAGGTTTGCAAGGTCCCCTAGCCTTTGCCAGTGAGAAATGACCAGCCATCACTGAGCCATTCATTCATTCATTCATTCATTCATTCATTCATTCATTCATTGATAGGTGAGTGACTGTTCGCCTTACTGTTGGCTGGCTTTTGTCCTCGTTTAATACTTGCTTCCATTGACTGTTTGTGCCATGCTGCTGAGAGCATTGCTATGTTGTCAGCTCTGTGCAGCAGGTATTATTATTCCTGTCTTATAGATGCAGAAGGCTTGCAGAGATTAAATAGCTTGCCCCAGCTCACACAGCAGCTGGGGCTGGTTTTAAATGCAGGCCAGTCTGATTTCAAAGCCTGTTCGTCATCATTATATGTCCTAGAGCTGAGCTTTACAATATGGTAGCCACTAGCCACATGTGGCTATTTAAATTTAAACTAAGTAGCATGAACTAAAATGTAAAATTCAGCTCCTCAGTTACACTAGCCATGTTTCAGGTCCTCGTTGGCCACGTGGGACAGAGGCTCTGTGGGACAGCTCAGATACAGAACCTTTCTGTCCCCACATGAAGTTCTGTTAGCACCTAGAATTGGGAACTTTTTCTCCCGACTTTTAGTTTAGGTGTGTAACTTTCTTAACAATTTAGGTCTCTGACCAATCTTTCTCCCTTTCACTTGCCCTCTCTCCATGGCACAAGCGAGCGTGAAGAAACGCTACTTTATTTAGAAATGTTTGGAATCTCCATGTCCATCTGGGCCCATTGGCAACCAATACCAGTTTCCAGGAGGCAACTTGGATTCATTTTCTTTCTAAATTTTCATCCCAAAGCAATTACTCTGTTTTCTTGAGAAGTAAGCAATGCTAGATACTGCCTTTCTTCCTTCCCATTTCAATATTTATTTAAAATATGTGATTTAAATTCTAGTATTCTGGTAGGGAAAGGCCAATTTAGGAGACATGCTATTTCTAAGCAATTGATTGACTATATTTTAGTTTAATGTCCTTTAGTATCATGTAATCTTAAAACCATACAGAGTACCAACATCTGTTTTAAATTTGCTTTTGCTGACTCTTAGAAAATAATCTTTTATGGAGTGGTAGGTGAAGAAAGATTGGGGGACACTAGGGAATAATCGGGAATAATAATAGTTACTAACATTTATTGTGCACCGATTATCTCATTAAATCTTCATCTGGGATAACCTCATTTTATGGTCAGGTGATTAGTAACCTTAATTCTATCTGCTCCTTTAATTCCTCCTTGCCATGTAAGGTACTATAGTCTCAGGTCCAAGGGATTAGGATGTGGGCATTTTTTGGGGGGAGGGGTCACTGTGCTTCGTGTGGACTCTGGCTCCGTCTCCCCTCAGGTAAGATAACTCCGAGATGAGTATTCCACACCCACTCCGGAGTTCCCCAGGGCATTAAGCTCTGTTCATCCACACTAGTCTCTGGCTTGACAACACACCTATTATTTCTCCTATGTCACTTTCTTAGTGTTTGCTGGGGTCACCTCTTAAATAGGCTACTGGTACTGAAATCCTTGTTTCAGGGTCTACTTATGGGGGGGGGGCCCAAAAATAGACTGGATAAACGAGTGTCAGGTTTGTTTGGTTGCTTGTTTGTTTTAATCTGCAAAATGGAACCAACAATCTCTGATCACCTCAGGCTTTTATTTGTGAACTCGCAGAAGGAAAGGACAGGTTAGAATGCGGAGGGACCTAGGATGGAAGCAGGGGCCCTGGGGAGCAAGTCAACGCTGAGACCAGGATCTGGAAAGCTCTTAGGGAGACACTGGGCAGGGAAAGAACAGTGGATGTGCATCCTGGAGCCTGGAGCGAGGGAACCGTATGCCCCCAGGTTAGCCAGGAAGCATCACTGGTGCGTAATACTGACAGAAAGGACTGAAAACCACAGAAAACACTCTCTTTTTTTTTTTTTTAAAAACTGGGCTTTATCAGATTTGTTGTCAACTCTGCTTTGCCTCTGTAGACTTGGTTACACATAACTATTCCGTGTTTTCACCCCAAGGAACGGTCTTTTGGGGGTCTTTAGCTGTATAAGCCACATTTAGACTGTCAACCTTTCCAAATGCATTTGATTAGACAAAAATCAGACATACCTGCTGAGCAGTTGGGTCCAAATAAACTGTCATCCTCACAGATTTCACAGGCTGTTCCACCAAACCCTTTCTGCAAAACACCCCAGGGAGATGACATCAGACCCAAAGTGATCTATGTTTCCCAGGAAGCCCACTGATTTCTCACTGATGGCCTGGTCAGCATTTGCTGCTCAAATACATCTTCCCTCTGTGCTTATCGTGAAGTGCCTGCTTTGTATTCCCCCACGCCTCCTTTATTCTTTGCTGTTTTTGTGTTATAATGCATATGTTAACCCTGTATCATTTTTTTTTTACTGAGTGTGGAGCTTTTCAGCAGAAATCTGCTTTGTCAGTCCAAAGATGTAACTAGAGAGCCAGTGCTAACAGCCACATCATAATTTCACCAAAGGATAAAATGAAAACGCTCTCAATGTTGCATTTCTGAAGGTAGTTGAGCTCATTTTTTTTCAGAAGGATTTCTTTGTACTTTAGTCATCTAGAAAGTCTTGCAAAACTCACTTTCATGGGCTAACAAAGAAATTCTTCAGCTAGCAGACCCAGAGCTTGACAGTGGGTGATTATTTACAGTGACAATGACAATTTCTATAGCCCTGTATAGTTTCACAAAGTATTTTCACAGGTATGATCTCATTTCTTTTTCAACCAAAGTCATCACATAGGTAATATTATTAAACCCATTTTACAGATGGATATGCTTAAGGCTGAGCAGTTAACAGACTCACTCAAAGGTCCTCAGCCTTTAAGAGGTCACTTTGTTGCAGATTGCCTACTCTTTTTACTAATCTCGCTACTTCTTAGAGACTCCATCTAATGTGTGTCTATTTAAGGAGGGACAACAGGTAAGGAGAAGGAGCAGAGTCAGGGACAAGGACACGTTTCTGAACTTACTTGGCACAAGCAGGTTCCATTTCCTTCCATGCCTTCCACACAACTGCCCCTGCCACTGCACGGGGACCTCGCTCCTCCTGGGCACTCTAGGGAACCAAAGGACTCAGATTCATTCATTCATGACTACACAGCTGCATTCTGCAAGGATGCATTAAGCACCTACTATGCGTCAGTTACTGTGCAGGGATAAGAAATAATTGAAGACCCTGCTGGTGTCCCCTGGGATTACATAGGGGAGGCAAGTGAATCATAATGTATTAGAGTCAGGCACTATAATCGTAGGCACCAAACTGCTATTTACGCGTATTCTTATATTCTTGAGCATTTGCTATCCACTTTACAATTATCTAATTAAATCATTCCCATTGCAACCCGCAGGGGGTGCTATTGGTGCTGGTTAGCAGATAAGGAGGCTGAAGTTCAGAGAGGGCACATAATTTGCTCAAAGACACACACTGTACAAGTTGCAAAGTTGGGAATTCAGCTCACCCCTTAGCATGTGTTTAAGGCCAGGCCTCTTAGTTAGTATGCTAGACAGAATTTTGAGGAAGACCAGAAAAGGGAGCTATTGGTGCTGCCTTGGGGCATCTAGGAGACATTTCTGAGCAGGAATTATTTAAGCTGGGGTTTTGAAGGCTCAGTAGGAGTTGGCCGTGCTTGAAAGGGAAGGGCATTTCAGGAAGAAGAAAGGGCAAGTACAAAGTCTCAGAGTTGTACAAGGGTACCGCCTGTCCTGGGAATGATAAGAAGTTTGCTGGGGCTGGAGCTTGGGAGCTGGGGTATGGGAGAAGTGGTAGTTGATGAGGAATAATAGGACAGTTGGGGCCAATGAACAGAAAGCTTTGTATGGCAAGCAAAAGAATTTATATTTCACTCAGAAGCTGATTTCAAACAAGCGCCGATTTTGCACTTTGGGGCTGTGCTAGACCTGAATTGGAGCTTTTATAAACATTTATTAGAGGATTTCAGTCATTCACTAAACATTCAGAAAATACTTACTACAAGCTAAGCATTGTGTTACATATTGGGGCAGAGGGAGGGACATTCAGCTAGCAAGTCAGAAATCACAAGGGCCCGAATCAAATAGGGCGTTAAAGTAACGATAAGTGACAGAAGTGTAAGATGCTACTGTGATGAGGATGAAACAAATTTCTGTTACTTTTTATACTTGCTGTTGTTCTACTTTCTACATGGATTTAGTGCCAAATTGGATGAGTACCATCCAAATAAGGGGTCTGGGCTCTTAAGTACCAAGCAGAGATCATACAATGGCCACGAGATGTGTTTGTATGAATGAGGCAGGATCAAATGTCATACCAAATTTAAGTTAGCAAGGTATATGCCTTCTGCAAAACAGCTAACGGTATGGAGTTCTAGATAATAATAAAGGATGTGTGCATTTACCACTCATAGCTACCTCCCGATGTTAAATCCTATTTTAAGCCCCATTTTCTAGATGAGGAAACTGAGGCATGGAGTAATAAAGCAGCTTGCCCAAAGTCACCCAGCTGTCAAGCGGTAATGAGAGACGCACTTGCCCCTCCTCTATGGAAGTGTCCACCTTCTTGCCCTCTCCTCCCCACCACCATCCACAAAGACCTTTGTTCAGAGCTCTCCTGTGACACAAGCTTGCTCTTCCATATATCTTCCAAGAAATCAGCATCCATAGAAACTGGAAAAGCAATTCTTGGAAAAAGAGACTTCTAAAAAACAGACCACAGAGGGAAGCCATCCATTCTCTCAGCCAGACACCCTGATGGCTCGCCTGAGTTACTAGGCATGTTCTTTAAAAGAACATGTGTAACTTGCAGGTACTGGGAGGGGAGAGAGTTGAGTTGCACACTTGTAGGCTATGTTCTCTCTGGCTCCTCTGTTTGTTTCTTATTTTTTTTAAAGATTTTATTGGGGAATTGGGGGAGGGGAACAGTGCTGGGGAATCAGGGGAAGGGGGACAGATAAGTTGCTGTCCTTTTGTTCTTCAGTCTAGTTGTGGAGGACATTGCTTCACTGGCCCAAGTTGGTATTATCACTGCGCTCTTCTGGGTGAGGCAGATCTGTTGCTGGCCTCTGGACGGCCACTACAGCAGCTCTTGGCAGCTCACACCAGCTGCCGGCCACACACGGCAGCTTATGGCAGCCCACTGCAGCCCCACTGCAGCCTAAGCCATCGCCAGCAACTCATGGCAGCCCAGCTCCAGGTCGAGCTGCTGCTCACCATCTTAGCTGTAGAGGGCAGTGTCACTGGCCCTCATGTGGGATCCGAACTGGGGCCCTGCTGCTCAGAGCTGGCATCCCAAGCCAGCTCTTAACCAGCGCGCCGCTCGGCCGGCCCCTGGCTCCTCTCTTTCTTTCCTGCTTTCAGAATATTAGGAAACTGCAGGATCTAAATTGTACACTTGGAGCCTGTGGTCTTTCTTTTTTACAACAGTGGCAGAGCTAGGCTTCAAACACAGGCAGGTAGTCCAGAGTCTTCCACAATGTCCATCATCATGCTACACATAAATCAAGCCCTACTGTGCACCAGAGCCACAGCACAGATAGCAGAAACGCTCATGAGGTGAGTGAGAGAGAAGGCACACTGACACGTAGCTAATATTGATAAATCACTTTGAAAACCAAGATGTCGCATCAGCTAGGGCAGTGGCTACATGTGATGCAAGAGTGTCACAAAAGGGCGGGGACTTCACAATCAGAATGTTCTTGGTTCAAACCCCAGGTCAACTCTTTGCTAGCTGTACCCCTTTGGGAAAGCAATGCCTGGCTCTGGGATTCAGTTCAAGTGTCGTCCTGGCAGGTTCTGGTAGGGATGGGAAATATTAGGTGCTCAATAAATGGTGGTTGTTATTATTTAGAGTGGATACTCGCCATCTGCTCCAGTTTTGTTCTTTCAGATTGGCAGTATAACAGGTACCAACACTCAGAAATGCATTATTGGGCACCAAGTAAGGTCCTGGGTGGACTAGGTGAGTGCACAGACCTGGTCTCTATGTCCATGGTGGGGAGAGTGTCATGGGTCAACCGATAATCACATAAATACTGGTTTCCAAACTGGGATCAGGGTTGTTGAGGGGAAGAGACCTAGAGCACTCATCACTTCACCTACTGGAGGTTACCAGCATTTACCCAAAACGACCTAATCCTGAATAGCCCCGTTGACCTAGATCTGAGGGCTATAACCAGATCATTAAGGAAGGGCCTTAATAAAGATGGGTCCTTATTTTAAAAACAGCAGCAGGAGGTGAGGATAAAGAGAAAGGGAGAGAGCCTCACGAAGCAGGTACCAGGTAAGCACGTTGAAGTTCACCTGAAAACCTACTGAAGGACTTGAGTTCACAACACCTGACGTGAGGTGCTAAGAGAACATTTCTACAGAGCACCGACTATCACACAGCTCTTTTCCCATTTCCTCTTGACATTAGGCCCTTCTTGGGCTGAGGTGGTATTTTTAGAATGTGGCCCAACTCTGGGCAGGACCAGGAAGATAGAGAGGTGACAGCTCTGCCACTGTTCACTTCTCTGGGCCCCCACGCCTCTCCCTAGGCATGCAAAGGGTTCTCTGAGAGACCTCAAGCTTGTTTTCTGGGCCGGCTCAGGAGAACACAGAGCCTCCTCCACCCGGAGGCTCCACAGTCAGTGCCACCTTGCAGAAATGCCCTCCCAGGCATTGTTACATTTGCAGGCGATGATGCCTGAATCCCAGTCGCCCACACTCGCGTTCCACGAATAGCTTCCTCTGTGCATTGAGTCAACTCCTCTCCCATCTCATATCCGTCCCTCTGTCCACCCCAGCTGACTACCCTGGACGTGCCCTTCCTACCCGAAAAGATGCTCTCCCTAACTCCTCCTCCACGGCAGTCTCAAGTTTTCCATCCTCTGGTTGTCCCCTCCACTTGGCGCATGCCTTGTGATAACATATAGAAAAGAAAATGGGGCAGAGTCGCCTACTGAGAATATAACCATATTCTAGGCTACAAGCTGATCATGGAGGAATTGGAGAGCTTCCCCCACCCCAACTCCTAAGAGTGTGACGTTGTACCCTTTTTCCTTAGGGGACAGTTAGCAAGCCTTTCTTTCTAAATGTGTAGGCAGGTGTTTCCCTAAGGGTACTCACTGGACCATCTGCGCCTAATCCTCTGGGAGGGGGGATTGTTACCAAGGCAGATTCTTAAGGCCCTGCTCTCCAGGGACAGTAGCCATGAAAATGCACCTCTCACGTCTCTATGGTGAGAGCATAAATTCCCTGAAACCCACCATGCTATTCACGAGGCCATCCTTCCCATGGCAGCTTCCAGCAGTGAGCGAGCCTGGCAGGGATACCAGGGCAGGCCCATTCTTGCAAGACAGAGGACTCTTCTGTTGGGTGACTCTGGCTGGTGGACTCCCCGTCAGCTTTACCAAATTTTCTGAGAGCTCCATGTGGTCTAAGACTTTCCCATCTGACCTTCTTTGGCTCCCTCGCTTATTCACAAGGGTCGGAGCGCCACGCTTGCTGGATGGCTCCCCCTGCATCTCTTGGCTTCCTTCTCATCTTCCCTTGGAGGTGCTTCTTTTACTTAATCTCTTGCATCTCTAGCCCTGCCTTGGCATCTGCTTTTCACAGGACCTGGGCGAATCCACCAGAGCATAGAGAGCCTTTGTGCACATTAAGAAAAGCTTCTCCAACCCCCACTGCCCTTGTCAATATACCCAACAGACGAGGCTTGGCAAGAAGATGAAACGAAAATTGAGAGGTGGCCCTTCCTCAGGGTGGACCAAGAGTGTATGGCATGGTCAGCCAAGGATGGGCTGGATTTCAGTCCATACTCACCCTGTTGGTCAGTAGCAACCAGTTTTAATTTTATGCCAAGTTCGGCCCTTTACACCCATCAAGTGGGGATTTCTGGGCGTAAGACCCAGGAGTATGTGTTTTCATAGGCTTGACAGTAATTTTACTGCACATTAATGTTTCAGAGCTATTGGGTCGGCCGGAAAAGTCAATGTGAATTTTCCCAGACAGGGAAGGAGGTGGAGGTTTTTATGCAAAAGTGTAAATTTCTTTCCTGCTTCTCTAATCATTTGCTATCACCTCAGGGCCCCCATTAAGAAAAAAGATGGTGAAATTGACATTTTCAGCAACCACACTTGGAAGAGAGATTAAAGGATTTGCTACAAAGGCACATTCCTGATGCATTGTGAGGCTCACATAGCTGATAAGGCTATTTTAGGTCATTATCACATTTCCCTTTGGTCACCGACACTCCGGTGGTCTCTTGCATTGTGACTTTCCTCATGCAAGAGGCTTACCGGTTGTAAGCTGTCAGCAGATCATCAGCTGTTCTGTTTCTTTAAAGGAAGATAATGAACTTCCTGGCAAGTCAAGGCCAGGGACCTCCCTGTAGCTTTATCTCCCAAGGAACTCTAGAGGTGCTTACTCTACGTCACCATCTTTGTTTAAAAGCTTGGCTCACAGTGCTAGGCAGAGACGCTGTGCCGGTATTCAATTTATAGCTCTGGTTGAAACTGTCTGTCTGGGAAAATGTTGTGAAATAGGTTTCTCATGTGAACTCAGCATTATTTGTCACTCAGAACCGAAAAAGACATGCCTAAATGACTGATTCTAAATCTGTATAGTCTGTTATTTGCAACCTGTGCAGTGGATGGCGAGGAACATAACACCAGGAAAGAAAAAAGTGGTCTGAAAATGCAAATAACATGACACACACAAAAATTAAGTGTGAATAATTTGATGACATTGACCTCGAAAAGAAGAATCAAGGTCATTTCCCTTTGAAACAATCCGATTGTTTTGCCACCTTCTTTTTCCATTACTTTGAGTTATAGCACAAATTCATTAACATTCATGGTGGAATAAAATGAACTGGCATGTTCAAATAAAAAAAATCTATTTCATCTCAAATAGAATATTGGTTGTTCAAGTGTATTAAGTTTCAAGGTTAAAACTATGTTTTTGTGCTAATGAGAAAAGACATCCATATGCAGATTCGATAAAGCAGTACAAGTTTTAATGAGGGAGAAGCACGTTAAATATGGATAGAAACACCTTTCTTATGTCAGGATGATATATTTTTTTTTCCCCAAGTGAGAATTCATGCCTTAGTCTTAATTTTAGATGATGACGAGTAATTTTGTTTTCATTCTGCTTTTTTGAGTTTTCCAAGTTTTCAGAATTGATCATAGAGTTAATTTCTTACTTGAATCAGGTACTATTAAAATAATTTAGAGAATAACTCAGCGGCGTTGAGTATGAATGTATTTCTCGATGCATTAAAAAAATAAGTGGAAATGGCACTTGCCTTGGAAAAAAGGCCATTCCAGAGCTTGTACTTTCTCAAAAAGAAGGATGGACACACCTGTCAGCAGCTCTGAAATGGCCTTATCCTGGCAGAAATGTAAAGCGATTATCAAGATCTCGTCTGTCATCACCACGAAATGTAAGAGGTGAAATAACACAGCCACATAGAGGATTTATCTCTTTCCTGAACCAAAGGAAGGAAGGAAGCCTTTTTTGAGACATTCAGTACGTTTGGAAGATGAAGATAAAGGGAAGTACGTGTTTGCCCCAATGAGAGGACAGCAGAAAGAATGTCCACCACGCCTTGGTTTTCAGATGTTTTGCTTCTGTGGCCTCCAGACCTAACAGGAGGAAATGCCTGAACGTTCAAGGGACCCTCTGACTCCTTCGATGGCAGGTACGAGCCTTCCCACATTTGCACGTAGCACAGTGTGACGGCATGAAACCCACTGAAGGTTTTCACCCTTGTTTGCCTGCTCAGGATTTATGAGTCACCCACAGTTGAAAAAAGGCCTCGGAGAAAGGGCTTCATTTTATTTGCCTTTTCTTATTGGAGGTCTGTTTTGACTATGATTTGCTCATTCGTTTATTCATAAAACTTTTACAAGATGTCTTCTTTGTGTCCTACACCTTGCCAAGTAGTTTCACCTATATCAACGTTTTAAAATCTCTAATATGGTTTTATAAAGTAGGACTATTTACCCCCATTGACAGCTAAGAAGACTGAGGCATAAGCAGGAAATAACTTGCCCAAATCAGGAATGATGGAACTAAATTCAAACCTAAAACTTGGTAAAAGGCTCAGGGCTCTTTTCCTCTCCTGACTGGGGTCTGTAATTCATTCTGTTGTACCTGCTGATGTTTGTTACTGTATCTCGGACAAATCCTTTTCTTGTCTATGGTGAGTCTGATTCATAACTTAGCATCAGATTTGCTTTTGTGGGTTAGAAAGGAAAAGTAAACCTAAAAGTTCTTTCTATTATATTAGGGTGTATATAAGAATGGGATGTGCTCATGACCACATTTAGCACTAAAAAAAGCTCTGGGACTCTGGAAGTCTGGGTTAATCACTTGATTCTGATGTAATAAACTCTGAGAAACACATTGTGCCAACATGCTTGGGTGAAACTGAGAGCAGAACAGTTAACAGAGAGTAGGGCCAAGATATCCTAAACCCCAAACCTTGACCTTTCCAGGTAAGGAGCATAATCCAGGCATTGACTGGGAGGATTGAAGGGAGTACCAATCAGAAGAGAAATTACAAAAACATTTAGAAAA